CGAGCGGCGATCTAGTGCAAGAATTTCGACCAAGTGAATTCCAGTTACCGCATTGGATACCCTTAAGGTTTGAGGACAGATATGGCTTGATCTATGATATATGAATTTCAGGATTCATTCAAATCTCACTTTACAAGAGATCTCCGTCAACGAGATTGAGCCTTATCCAAAGAAAAATGGCATTGCTTTTGATGGAGATTGAACCAAGAAAGATAATTTCATTGAATTTTACAAAATAGACTTTACATTGGGCATTTATTGCTAGTATTTGCTTTAGAAGATTTGATATTTTCACCTTTTATTTTCACTTAATTGAATAAATGTATTTTAATGAATGCAAATCAAACTCTCAGCCGCTTTTCATCAGCTTTAAATTAATTGACAAAGCCCTATTGATTTGATTGACTTGTAGATTTTTACAAATCGAGAAAAAAAGCACTTTTTTGGCTCTTCCAAACCCTTAAATTCCTTAAACCTTTGAAATTCGTAGCTTGAATTTAGCTAAAAATAAGTTATCTAATAATTCAGAGTTATCTCTACTCGTTCTCTATTCGAGATTCTTTACTCAAATGATAAAAGAGAGCATTATACAAAACGGCCAGAAGCTTTGATGGGCAATAAGTGAAAAGACAAGCGTATAATAAGTATAATAAATGAGAAATTTAACATTTGAACCCAAGTTCCAGTCTTTGTGTGCATGCTGGTCGTGGAGGTTTTGTCAATGCGGCATAAAAATGCATAAAAGCATGACTTTCTCGAAAAACCTCGATGAATGAGATTCAAACGTCCAATCCGGTACTTGTTCCTCTAACTCCAACTCCAACTCCAGCTCCAGCTTCAACTTTAGCTCCAACTCCAACCTCAGCTCTAGCTCCAACCCCAGCTCCAACTCGACCATCAGCCTCAACTCCAATTCCACTTCCAAGCCCAATTCCAACTCCAGCTCCATCTTCAACTTCAACACCAGCACCAACTCCACTTCCGACTCCAACTCCAACTGCAAGTCCAACTCTAACTCCAGCTCCAGCTCCAGCTTCAACTCCAACTCCAACTCCAACTGCAAGTCCAACTCCAACTCTTGTACCACCTCCACCACTAACTCCTCCTCTAACTTCTCCTCCAACTCCTCCTCCACCTCCCCTTTCATCTCTGCCTCTTCCTCCTCTTCAAGCACAAATTTGATTCAAGCAAAAGTAACAACAAAAAGCTCAAGGAAGAAATGATTAGCTTTAAGAGTTCAGTCTTGATCAAACTCACAAATCTCATGCGTGCAAGTATTCAACCAAATAGATTTGTTCCTTGTTCCTCACATTCACAATCACAAGAGAACTTTAGAGTTTGTACTTGTAAAAAGTCTGTACACAAATGTGACAATTCACAGTTTGACTATCACCCTTATGAATGGGGTTTTTTGGAGTCGGGATTTTGATTCAAGCCTAAGTTCAGTTTAGAATTTAAACCCAGACTTATTTTACTTATTCGTAGTTGCATCCAGCGGCTCTTCATCTATTGAGGGTTTGTATTATTCAGTGGCAATGAACTAACACAATTCTACAACAAATCCCAAGTCCAACAGTTCAACAGACACTAATTGCGTCACTCAAAGTCTCTTGTTCCTTATCCCGGTTCCCATGGATGAGTCAATCTTCTCCGCAATCTCTTTTCCATTACCTTCTCAATCTTTTCCTTTTTTCTCTTTCTCTTCCCAGCTTCCCCATTTTTTCCTCCACGTGCGGCCCTCCCCTTTCCTTTTCCCGACTAGAAGAGGGGCCTATCGAGCGGTTTTCTCCCCTCACACAGCTGTCCTGAACCCTCTTTTCCCCCAAAAAAGCATTTCCTTTTCTAAACCCATTTCTCAAAGAACATTAGAAGAATGAAAGTGCTTTTTGATATGCATTAATTCTATTTATTCTATTTGTTTTCGATTTATTCTATTTGTTTTTACTTATTCTATTATAATTCTACTTCTTCTTTTTTGTTTTCGAAAATTTTGATATTGTACTTCCTTCATAACGTTTCTTTCAACAGTTTCTTTCAACAATTTCTTTCAACAGTTTCTTTTCAGCTTTCTCTTTGATTTTCTTTCTATCTTTTTGTTTCATTGAACTTTTTGTTTCATTCTAACCAATTTTACATTTGTTTTTTTCCATTTTTCTCTATTTTTTCACTTCCCCGTCTTTCCCCTAGCTATCAAACGTTGCGCCAATGTTTATGACGAGAAAATAGCTTTTTTAGGAAAAGCCTAGTGAATTTTTAGTTAGAATGAGAAGAATCAAGAGTTTTGTTGGATTTTTCTAGATTTTTATTGAATTTTTCAAATCTTCAACACAGATTTAATGATTGTTAACGACTTACAATTCATTTTTTATCACTATGGATAAAGTAACCTTGCTTGTTTTGATTCATATAGTAAGATTTTTCGAATATTTATCAAATATCCAACTATTAGGGGTTTGCAAAAGAAACTGCGTATTATACGCAACGTTCAAACACCTCGAAAATTAATAATAAAAGACTTTATTCCAAAAGGTACTCGCCAAAATTATCAACTATATTTTTCCATTTTTTGTGTAGACTTCGGATGTCTGATTCGAAAAATTCGGGGTCCCGCGATGCAAAGTAGTCTTGCACCCAAATTTCGACTTCTTCAGGATTGTTAGACTTTAGCTTTGCAAGAGAGTGTTGCATAGACAGGAACGAGTGGTAATCTGACGGAGCGATATCAGGCGAATAGAGCGGATGAGGCACAAGTTTCCAGCCTAATTCTTCTATGGTGTTTTGAGCCAAGTTTGATGTGTGTACCCGGAAATTGTGAGCGAGTAAATGGATTGTCCTTGGATTAACACCTCTTTCTCGTAGAATTTCATCAGCTTTCTTCAGCTGTTCGGCGTAGCTTTGAGAAGTTATAGTTTTTGAAGATTTTTGTAGTTTAAAATAAACGATTTCTTTCATATTCCAAAAGATCGACAGCATAACTTTCTTTCTGTGAAGTTCTGGATGTGATGTCGGAATCGGCCTTTCTCCTTTGCTCAACCATTGTCTTTTGCGTGTTGAATTATTGAAATATATCCACTTTTTGTCCATCGTCAACATGCTTTCAAAAAAAAGCACTGCCCGTAGCCTTTTTCAATAAAATCCGAGACAATAAAACTCGATTGGCTTTGTTTTCAGGCGACAATTCATGTGGGACCCATTGGCCACAACGATTCCTTTTTCCAATAAGCAAAAGGTGTCGGGAAATTGTGCTCTTATCGCATTTAAAGCATTCGGCTAATTCGGACAAAGTTTGAGTTGGATCCGACTCGACAACCTCGAGCAACTCCGCATTATCGAGGACACGATGTCCATGGGGCTCGTCTTCCAAGCCCTCATCTCCTTCACGAAAACGCCGGAACCATTCCTGACAACTTCTTTCACTCAAAACGTTTTCTCCAAATGCTTCACAAAGATTCCGGTGCGACTCCAATGCTGATTTCTTCATTTTAAAGTCATAGAGAAGGCAAGCCCGAAAAACGAATTTTTGATCTGTCATCTTCGACAACTAAAATTATTTATAATTCAATGGTCAAACAAATGTGAAAATCAGTAAAATAAATAAGCGTTATCAACACAATAGAATAAAATTTAAACTGGGTTAGAGCACTTTCAAATAGAGAAAATATTGTTCCGGAAAGTCATGCGCAGTTTCTTTTGCAAACCCCTAATACATATGAAATTCTGATTTGATTCTTCCTCCTCTTCAAGAAAAATTTGATTCAAGCAAAAGTAACAACAAAAAGGCTCAAGGAAGAAATGATTAGCTTTAAGAGTTCAGTCTTGAGACACCAGCACCAACTCCACTTCCGACTCCAGCTCCAGCTTCAACTCCAACTCCAACTTCAACTGCAAGTCCAACTCCAACTCTTGTACCACCTCCACCACCAACTCCTCCTCTAACTTCTCCTCCAACTCCTCCTCCACCTCCCCTTTCATCTCTGCCTCTTCCTCCTCTTCAAGCACAAATTTGATTCAAGCAAAAGTAACAACAAAAAGGCTCAAGGAAGAAATGATTAGCTTTAAGAGTTCAGTCTTGATTAAACTCACAAATCTCATGCGTGCAAGTATTCAACCAAATAGATTTGTTCCTTGTTCCTGACATTCACCATCACAAGAGAGATTTAGAGTTTCAGCAGACAGTCTGTCTTTTTTATCACTATGGATAAAGTAGCCTTGCTTGTTTTGATTCATATAATAAGATTTTTCAAATGTTTATCCAACTACATATGAAATTCGAATTTGATCTATTCAAATTTGAACCTTTTTTGATGAACATGATTTTTTTGGAGTTCTTTTAGCCGCATTTTCTTTCCTTTTTGGAGTTCTATAAGCCTCATTTTTGCTTTTTGAAATTCCATCAGCCTCATTCCCTTGCTTTACTCAGATAAGGATATTGAAATCACTTGAAATTATCTCCAAAAAGATTCAAAAGCTCAATTGGCTGTTATTTACTTTTGTTTGAAAAACACGGGTGACTTTTCCTGTCACCATGCAATTCAAACACAATTGCATGGTGACAGGAAAAGTAACGAAGCTGATTATCTTTCCCGAAGTCCGAAAACAATCCTACTTTGGTGTCATTGATTGCTTTCACTGATTGTCATTGATTGCTAAGGATTTGAGACATTTCAGTTTTTTTAGATTTAAAAAAGTGTGCCGCAATCTTTCTTATATGTCCATTTTCCCCAAACAGGAACCTAATCAATCAAATCTTTCCCACTAGAACTTTCCGATTGATTTGTGGGAGAAATTTTGCTGTCTATTGCTTTCTATTGCTTTCTATTGCTTTCTATTGCTTTATATTGCTTTATATTGCTTTCTATTTCAAGATTTATTCGATAATCACTGAAATTATGAGCACTTTATTTGGCTTATCGTATAGCGGTTTGTTAATTGGAAAGAATTTGAGTTGAATTGAAAATAGAATAGAATAGAATAGAAAATAGAATAGAAAACTTTCAGTAATGACAAAAGCGCAAGAAAATGGAGTCCCCGAGACGAAACATGTGCGAATCGGTGAGAGATTTCAAATTTTAACCAAATCAACTAACAATTTCAGCAAATGAACATACGCCGAAAGATGATGGCGGTAAATAGTTTATATTTTCACCTATGTAGAACATTTCCAATCTCTCGATCCATTCCCTGCTTCAACTATCAGCTATCGATTCCGTTTTTCCTATACTATAGTGCAATGTAGTGCACTATCCAATTTTGGAAAATATCTCAATTTACTCAAATCATCCGGGAACTTGCATGCCTATTCCGTTAAGAGCAAATTTTAACATATTCGACATGACCGTATCTTAATCGGGCGGTCAAGAGTTCAATCCCGTCAAGGGTTCAATTCTTTGTCTTGCGTGCGCAACCGTTATAAGAGAACCCAAAAACTTGTTTGTCAAATTCCTTGCGATTCCGAGCTATTTAGCAAAATAGGACAGCGGAATCAGCGTCAAATTCTGCATCGGATAGTCTAGGTCTGATTTCGATTGGCCACCTTGATTTCGTGACCTTCCCTTGTTAGTCAGGAGGTCAAGGGTTCAATCCCACCGGCTAGATTGTTGATTCTTTTTTCCCATATATATGGATTTTTTTTCTTCCCTACATCTTCCCTAAGGCTTAGGGCTGTATTAGGGCTATATTATTTGTATCACATTCACGACGATCGGTGGGCCGTAATGATGAGGGTTATTTTTGGTGTCAACTCAAGTTTTTAAGGGCTTTTGTTATTTATTTTGCAGAAAGTTTTCGATAACTTTGTGAGATCCGTTTTTAAGAGGAGATCCGGGGCTACCGAATGATCATAATTTAGTTTCGTTTACTTTTGAATTTTTTGACCAAATTATCAGTCAAAAAGTCAAAAAGACTACACGATTGTACGCCCAAAATACTGTTGTCGCGAATGTGTTAAAGAAATGGGAGTGTTTCTCTTGATCAAGCACTCCTAAAAGACGCCTATTGTAATCAAACATTAGCTTAGCTTTCGATTAGCCCAATTAAATCCCAAAATTGGGCTAATTAAATGAAACCCGGTGATTTGATTACGGTTGAAATGCTTGAAATGAAAAAATGCTTTTTAAAAGTGCATCAATCAAGAATAACGCCGGTTTCAATGATGAAAATCACGAGTAAATTGGAATATTTTACCACAATAACTGCTTCACCTTTGATTTTTTCAGATTTTTTTTCCAGATTCGGTGAAAGCTCGTCGGCTCGAGTTGGCCAGATTGAGGATGATGGAGGTGTCTCCTTTAATCCTTCCGGGAAGAAGAGTGGCTGGTCCAAGAATTCTCCCACCAAACAGTCCCATCAGAAGAAGGAGGAGAAGTTTCTCGGATATTAAGAGGTCAGTGAAAAGTTAAAGAGATAGGAAAAGTGAAAAGGAAAGAAAAGAAAAGCGATACAAGGGTGACCGCGAATTATGGCGACACCTTTTTTGGAAAAGTTGCTGGCAAACGCCTGACTTATCACCAAAGTGCCAAGTGGTATAGAGAAAAATAAAGCCCTTAATCTTAGCATCATTTCTCTACAAAGAACTTCCAGATTCGAATTATACAAGTAATTTTACAAGCTCTCGAATAGGCTCAAGCTCTCTCCGTCGATCTGCAATTTTTGACACTTTTTGACACACAATATTTCCATCTAAAAATGGATTTCTTCCATCAAACTTGTGATAGTTTACTTTAAAAATACCAGTCAACAAAAATATAACACTAGAAAAGCTTATACAGCAAGATCTTCTTGTCAAATAGGTCGACTTGAGCTCATTGAGCTTGAAAGCTTGTAAAATGAGCTGTAGAATTCGAATCGGGAAGTTCTTTGCAGATAAATGATGTCAAGATGAAGGGTTTTATTTTTCTATATAACACTTGGCACTTTGGTAATAAGTCAGGCGTTTGTCAGCAACTTTTTCCAAAAAAAGGTGTCGCCATAATTCGCGACAGAAATTATCACTATCAACGATTATTGTGAATGAAAGTTGAGCCACTCAAAAGCTTGAGGTTAAAATAATTTGACAAGTTCTTGAACTTATTAAAAAGAAGAAGCTTATGAGCTTTTAGAATTAAAACACTAGCCAGCAAGACTTCGATCTAAACATACCAAAACCTTACTACATGAATATCTCCGCATCTATTGGGTTGGTGAATTGAAAACTGCGGGACTTTGAACTAAATTTTATTGAACATAAAACCATGAATTCATTCGAAATAATTTCCATTATTATTGACGACTTCTGCCCATTTTACAGGCAATTTGCGGATTCCTCTTTTGTAGTAGGATTTTGGTTTGTGTGTGAGACAAGTGTGAGACTCAAAAATGGAGGACTGGAGATGGAGACTGGAGATCCCAGTTTGAGCACTTTCTTCAAAAGAAACCCATTTTCGTGTCAATAGAAAAGTTGTAGAGAATCAAAAATGAAGCTTATATCCAAATTTCCAAAAAGATACACTTAGTAGTTTCGCTTAAAATGCAAGTTTTGTGAAAATTCGTAAATTTGGCATTTCTTGAAAACGAGTTTTTGAATCGTTCTGAAAATTTGGATATAAGCTTGATTTTTGATTCTCTACAACTTTTCCATTGACACCAAAATGGGTTTCTTTTGAAGAAAGTGCTCAAACTGGGACATATGACAATAGCCGGCTGTTTTCAATTCACCAACCCAATAGTTTTGGCCTTCATTGTGGTTCGACCTACGAAAAGTTCCGTATTCTCCACTGGAAATAGATTCCTTTCTCATTTCATCACAAAATTTATCGCGTAAAACAATACTTTCAATTAATCTGATAAAATGATTTGAAAATGAAAAAGAAACGACGACGCGGCGCTCCCATCGACTACCGGCGACGTCATTTGGAATGCGACGTTGCGCGAAAATTAAAATCTTACATGAAAACGCAAATTTCGCATTTCTTGAAAACCAGTTTTTGAATCGTTCTGAAAATTTGGATATAAGCTTGATTTTTGATTCTCTACAACTTTTCCATTGACACCAAAATGGGTTTCTTTTGAAGAAAGTGCTCAAACTGGGACATATGACAATAGCCGGCAGTTTTCAAGTCACCAATCCAATATTAACCATAGAACTTTCATTCCATTTGATTTTTTTCTCTAACTCGTTCATATTTTGAATTCTTCACATGAAAAAGAACATTTTTTTTCATCTAAAATAGTCTAACTCGTTCTAACAATTCGTTCTTTAAAGTGTTCTTTTCAAAGCCATTGTTTGTTTGTTAAGCCATTGCTTTACAGGCTTCATTTAGAAATTTTGCATTTGTGAATTGTAAAATTCTAACCAAAACCGTCATGTTATGAAGAAAAAAAATCCTTTTTCTGGAAAGCTGATTAATTCCTGATTAATTCGTCGCCTCTAGCCGAAAAACAAAAGAAAAACCCGTTTTTCAACAATTCAACGTTTTTCAACAATCTTTCCGCGAAACAAATGAAAAACAAATGAAAATTTTGTCAAAATCCAAGGAAATTCTCTTTCTTCTTTTAATGGCTTTCAAAATTCTCCTACTTTTTCCAAGGGATTACCGAGTCTAATCCCTCCATTGGCTTTTGCCTTCGCGATTTTTTCTTTCCTTGTACTTCTTCCTTTGTACTTTTTGATTAATCCTAAACCCCTTTTCGATATGTTTTCAAAAAGTGATAGCACTGAATTGAAAACGATTCAAACGAGAAGAAGCAGTGCAACTGTGGAGAATTTGAGATGGCTTTTGAGGTAAATGAATTTTCTCTTGAATCAAACTTGTTAGGTGCACTTGCCTAGGTGTACTTGCCTTACAAATGACTCTTTTGGCTGAAATCTAATTGTTTCAAACAGCCATTTGAACCATTTGAACCATTTGAAATCATTTGAAATCATTTGAAATCATTTGGCCTAACAGTGAGCAATAATTCATCGACTCTCGAGTTTCATAAAGTGTTTTGAGTTACTTTAATTTTGTTCTACACTTGTTCTTTGTGCTTGAAAGTGCAAACGCACTCTTTCTGCTGTATTCTTTTATCTTTTCACCTCTTTAACATTGTTAAAAACCCAAAATCTGTAAGAAATATATGTTGATGTTTGATCTATATAATTTCTTGTGAGACCGTGTCTCGGTGTGGTTCAATAGTGGTCTTCTTGAAAACGCACAATTTATCCAACTTTCCCTTATTAGGGCAACTTCGCTCAAATTGAAGCAACCTGGCACTATCACAATTAATTCAACACTTGCATGTGAAAAAAAAAGGATGATAAAAAGCAAAAAAAAATGGAGAACAAAAAACTCACTCAAAAGCAAAGCTTGAAAAAGGGGTTTTTTAAGTATACAAGCTACAACAAAAGGACAGCTGAATATCGTCTAGTGACTGATTACGATAGTTGATCCATCAACTTTGTATTTTAACTTGTGTATTGAATTTTTGACTAACTGCAGAGCAGTGGCAATTCGCCACAAAATCCTTCTCCATTTCATTTCACATTTTCACAAATTCCTAGTCTTCGTTTGAATTTTAATGGCATTTCTATAAAACGACTCAAAGCATCGATTCCATGAAATCAGCCGATAAGTCTTTGAGCACTTTTTTATAAGTCTATTTAGAAAGAAACCAATTGATCTACGATTTGCTTCAAATAGAAGATAATATCAAATGTTTATTATACACTTTTCTATCTTTTTACACCAATCTGGACCCGTTTCCAAGAAAATCCAAGCGCTAAAACTCGTTTGGCGTAAAATTCGATGGTATAAAGGAATTGGCTGAACAGATTCTTCTGAAAATTTGCCTAGAAACCTAACTTTTTGCGTTCTTTCTTCTTTCTATTGACACCAAGATGGATTTATTTAGAGGAAAGTGCCCTAAATCGGGTCTTTGCGGAGAGGAAAGTGCCTTTTTTTGACGATCCGACTTCGCGTCCCCATAAAAAGCCAGAGACAAAAGATTTTCATTAGATTTGAACGTTATTTTGTAGAAAAATAGTAGGAAAAATTTGAATTAATGGATTTGGACTAAAAGACTAAATTTGGACGTATTAGGTTGGAAAGAAAGTTCTCGGTAAAAAGCCGATTTTGAATAAGTGGATCGAGGCGCGTCCAATCATCAAATTTTTGGCATCATTCAACGCAAAATCATTGATAATTATGTTACAAATTTTAAATTAGAAAGATTGGATAAAAAAGAAAAAAGTTTATAAAGCTTCAAAAGTTTTCTCTTGAACAAACAATTTTTTGCTCTAATTTTTTTTCTTTTTATCAAATCTTGCTAGTTTTTAAAATTTAACATAATTATCAATGATTCTACGTCGAATGATACAAAACACTTGATGGTTGGACGCGCCTAGATCCACTCATTCAAAATCGGCTGAATTTCAAAATCGAATGAGGAACCTGAAACTGAATTTCAAAACCAACGAGGAACCAACTAGGATCCAAGTTGGAACCAAGTAGGAACCAACTAGAAACCAAGTAGGAACTCGTCACTCATTCAAAATCGGTTGAATTTAAAAATTCGTGGATTCGTTTTTAAGAAATTTCAGTCAAAAATTCAGCGAAATTTTTTCCGACAACTTTCTTTCCAACTTAATATAGATTCTTTAACGAAAACCATTTCACCATTTCTCTCCATGACTCTCCAGATCTCATTTTGACCTTCATGTAACTAATTTTCATGTAAACTCATGTAAACTCATGTAAATGTTCATGTAAACTCTGAGATTTGACAAATTTTTATGATTTTAAGTAAACCTTGCTTGAATCTCGTGCAAATTTGGCTCATTTCAGACTACTTTTTTTTTACGATTTTTGCAAATTCGTTTGAAAATCGTTTGCAAATTTCTATCTAGAACTTTGCTAAAACTTTCCAATACTTGACCGAAGCCAAGCAATACTTGACCCAAGCCAAGCAATTTTCGACCCATGCCAAGCAATAGTTGACCCAAGCCAAGCCAGACTTGACCCAAGCCAAGCAATTCTCGACCCAAGCCAAGCAATAGTTGACCCAAGCCAAGCAATACTTGACCGAAGCCAAGCAAGACTTGACCCAAGCCAAAGCAATACTTGACCCAAGCTAAAGCAATACTTGACCCAAGCCAAGCAATACTTGACCGAAGCCAAGCAATACTTGACCCAAGCCAAGCAATACTTGACTCAAGCCAAGCAAGACTTGACCCAAGCCAAGCAATTCTCGACCCAATCAAACAAAAGAAAACTTCACCGTATAAGTTCCGAAGATCGATTTTCTTTATTACCTGCAATTTCTAAGATTCACCGTCCAAATATCGAACAATAAATCTACGCATGAATCTAAAAAAAAACGGTGCAAAGAGGAAATTTTGAACGCCCCCAAATCCCCTCAATGGCTCAAATTCCGTTTTTCTATTTATTTTTCTCTATTTTTCTCATTTTCGCCAAATTTCAGCTTAAAAAGCTTTATTTCTTGGATTGTTGATCTAACGATCAAATAAGCAACGGCACTGGGGCATATTCATTAAAAAGGAAAGGGAATAGACAGGAGACGGGAGGGGTAGACTGCCCAACTCTAGAAGGGGGGAGGGGGGCGGGGCCGAACCCGAACCCTCGAGGCTTTCTCACCCCTTCACACGCTTCACAAAACATTGATCCCCGCACTATACTTTTTTGATATTCCTCTCTAGCTAATTATTCTTTGTTTTCTCACTTTCATGGTAGCTGAGAGAAAAAAATCGACTTTAAACTCGGAGGAAATGACGAGGAAACCGATCGCGAAAAGGTGGGAAGATCGATTTTTCGCATTTCTTTTCTTTTGAAGCAATTCTTTTGAAGCAAAGCAAGTTTTTCAGAATTTGACCGCATTTTATAGAGAATTTTGCGTATTTTGAAGCTATTTTGAAACTAAAGATGAAAGAAACTAAGAAAGAAACTAAACTAGAGAATATTTTGTAAAGAAAATTGATTTTTTTTCTTATTTCTTGACTTCTAGATTGCTTAAAAGTTCTAGTTTAGTTAAAAAAAGCTAAAAGTTATTAAAAAGTCAAAGTTGACTTGATTATTGGTCGATTTTACTGCTACAGAATAGACAATGGATACAGTAGAGAATAGAAAAATAAAAAAATAAGCTTAACTATTTATCTAACACTAATTTGATTGATAAAAAAGTCTAAAAAAGTACAAATTTTTCCCTAAAACGACCAATGATTCGAAATCAACAATTCTAAATCGAAATTCTCTATAAAATGGATTCAATCTTGTTCTGAAAACAGTGGCAACTCCAAAAGAGCTGTTAGATTTTTTTGGTCTGAATTTCCGGAGCCAAAAAAAACGCGGGGATTGGGTTGCAAGTGCATGATCCGTTCGAGTAGGACCTGTCCTCTTCAACCTTTTTTTTGCTTAACTCTTTCGCATTCATTGTTTTTGATCAACCCCGGATTGAATGTCAATCATTGTTCTTTAAATTTTATGCTCAATAAACGCATCTTTTCTGGTGCACAGCTTTTAATTTCTCTAGGAAAATTTAGAATTCACTACGCTGGAAAAGATGTGTTTCCTTTTTGAGCACACTTTGAGCACACTCCAAAGAACAAGACCAGAGAAATTTTCTTTTCTTTTGCCTGAATCTTTCAGTAGTATTTTTTTCAAATAGTTTTTTTTCTGAACACTTTTTTTTATTTGGACGAACACTGGCTGCATCAATAACTAATGAAATCTAAACAAACTAAGCAAAAAACACAGAGAATATAGAGAATGTGTCTATTCAATAGAGAAAACAAAACAAAACTAAGACAAAGCTCCAGTGTTGTTTATTCTAATCATTCTTAGAGATTCTATGATTCTACGTTTTCAATAAAGTGTTAATTGATTCAGTTTCAGAATCAGAAGCAGAATTAGAAGTAGAATCAGAAGTAGAATCAGAATCAGAATCAGAAGCAGAATCAAAAGTAGAATTAGAAGTAAAATCAGAATTAGAATTAGAATCAGAATCAGAAGCAGAAGCAGAAGCAGAAATAGAATCAGAAGCAGAATCAGAAGCAGAATCAGAAGTAGAATCAGAATTAGAAGTAGAATCAGAATCAGAATCAGAAGCAGAAGTAGAATCAGAAGCAGAATCAGAAGTAGAATCAGAATCAGAATCCGTTCCGATTCACTCATTTATCGTTTTGTGTCATTATTAAACCTTTTCCCCCAATTTTTGTACAGCTCAGGCACCTGTAAATCCTACATTACATGTCTTATTAATCATCTAAATCTCAAGATATCAAACCGGAGCCATAATAACAATGTTGGCTCTGGATTTGCGCCAAATTTGAAGTTTTCAAACAGTTCACATTTCGCCTCTTTTTCTGCCTCTTTTCCAATTCTCATTTTGCTTTCTAGTCCCACTAGTTCAACTGCATTTTATTCCCGAATCAACTTCATTTAATGACTCTTCCAGATGTGTTTCTACACTACTAAAAACTCGTTGCTAAATTTGAAACAAAGATAGCTTTAGATTAGAAAGCTTGATAAAGATCGATGAACAACTCGGTTTCGGTAAATCTTAACGCGAACACAAATCTATTAGAATCTATTAGAATCTATTCGATCTATTAGATCTATTAGATCTATTAGAATCTATTAGAATCTATTAGGATCTATTAGATTTAAGCTGAAGATAAGATGCAAATCTCTCCCCTTTATTCAACCCCGTACCGCAGTTGCGCAAATTTCAGTCTCAACCGAGAGGCGACCTTCTCGAACGGTTTTGGCATTAGTCGCACCCTCTCCCAGGATAGCACCGCTCGTTTCTCGAGCCATATTCAGGTCCGTTTATCCGTTTCTTTTCAGATTTGGCCCACTCATTTCCCAGTACATAAGACTTCAGGAGTTGATCTTCGACTTGTACAAAGAGGAAAACGATAAGATTCTGCTGCCGAAGTTCTTGAAGGTGAGTTGTTAATATCATGACTGATACGAATTTTTTTTTGAATTCCTTTTGTTAAAAGCACTTAGAGCGGGCAATTCCATCATTTTGACAGTTCTTTAAATGTGTGCTTTATAAATTCTTTGAAAACAGGTGATTTTGCTAGAGAGAAGTGTTGCTTTACTTCAAATACTTTTTCAAAAGTGGAAATGCCAACTAAATTGTATAATAACGAGAGAATCGTCAGCAGTGACCGTGAGATTTCGGCACCAAAATGTGATGCAAAAACCTAACGAATACAGCGAGTACGGTAGTGCTTTCAGATTTTGCTAAGGATCGCTAGTTTTCGAGAAAAACGGCTTTGAAATGTCGGTGTCTACTTGAAAAAGAGGCAAAGGATTTCTTTCGGACAGACCAAATGTGTCCTCATGGTCAACGAATAGAGTCCTCGCCTTCATTCTTTGCGATCCATTCCCGGCTCTGGTTCGGTCCCGGCCCTGGTTCGGTCTCGGCCCTGGTTCGACCCCGGCCAGCGCCATCTTTACTTTTTTTTCCAAACTTTGTATTTTATGGATTTCAAGGGTTATAGAACATTTAAATTTTAACGTTTTTTTGCCTTTGTTCAACAATTTCATTCATAAATCTAGAAGCCAACAAACCAACCACAAATACTAGCTTGCGAGGTTGTAGAATGCCTATACGTTCTCAAGGGTAATTATATAGTTTGTAATTAGTTTGCCTCATCGACTATGCTTTGATTATTTTGTAAAGAAATTGCATCTTTGTTGATTGATATTTGTGCTTAGTTTGTTGTGTTGGCGTCTGGATTTATGAATGGGGAAAATATGAAAATTTCAAAGTTCTATAGCCCTTGAAACCTATAAAATACAAAGATTGGAAAAAAAGCAGTAAAGATGACGCTGACCGGGGCCGAACCAGAGCCGGGACCTAACCAGGGTCGGGACGAACTAAGGCTGGGACCGAACCAAGGCTGGGACCGAACCAGGGTCGGGACCTAACCAAGGCTGGGACGAACCAAGGCTGGGACCGAACCAAGGCCGGGACCGAACCAGGGCCGGGACCGAACCAGGGCCAGGACCTAACCAGGGTCGGGACGAACCAAGGCTGGGACCGAACCAAGGTCGGGACGAACCAGGGCTGGGACCGAACCAAGGCTGGGACCGAACCAGGGTTGGGACCGAACCAGGGCCAGGACCTAACCAGGGTCGGGACCGAACCAAGGCTGGGACCGAACCAAGGTCGGGACGAACCAGGGCTGGGACCGAACCAAGGCTGGGACCGAACCAAGGCTGGGACCGAACTGAACCAAAAATGAGAGGTGAGGTCCGCTGACCGCGAGGAGACATTTGGTCCGCCCGAAAGAAGCCCTCTTGTAGAAGTGTGCCTCGTTATCGAAGTTCGTTTTTCTCGAAAACTAGCGATCCTTCGCAAAATCCGAAAGCACCATCGTACTCGCCATATTCGATAGGTTTTTGCATCACATTTTGGTGCCGAAATCTCATGGTCACTGCTGACGATTCCCTTGTAAGTTCGGGAAATTTTCGTAAATGGTAAATCTATTTTAGAAAAAGCAAAATCCAAGTATTTTACTCTTGAAAAAGATTTTAATATTTGATTTGCATCCGAAGCGACTTTTTTTTGATGCAAACCTTTCATGAGTGACTCTGAGTTTTAAGCCGAATCAATCGAGTCTCTAAATTTTGTAGTCACCCGGATAGATGAAGGCTTCTTAGGTAGAAACATTAAACAATATTATCAATTTTTTAGGTATCAACCATTTAGCTTTATTTCATAAGAACTCACGCATAACCTGACCGACTTTTGACTTGAAACAATCGCTAAAAAAAAACACACACACACATTCAAAACTTTGACATAAACGTCACTTCACCATAGACACAAAGGACAAAAGGAGAATTACGAGAAGTAGTTATTTTTCACGTGCATTTGGGCCACATTTTGTGACATCGGGAGGGGCTTTGAATAGTGAATGGGCTTTTTTTTCCCCTCATCTCCCCCTTGAAACCTCTTAAATCCCTCGAAAAATGGCCCCGTCGGGCAAAAGCTTTTTGGATTATTATGACGGAGGCCAACGTGTGCTTTTTGTGCTTCCGGCCAGAGGTAAAGAGGCATTTTTATCGAAGAAGTTAGGGGACAAGAAAATATAGGGAAATCACTTACAGGAAAAGGAAATGACACTTCGAAATGTACCCTTACAGGAAAAGAAAATGACACAAAGTACCCTTACTTTCTAATCTTTTAAAGTACCCTTACTTTGTACACTTTTAAAGTACCCTTACTTTGTACTCTTAAACACACCTTATCTGGTGAACCCAATCCCTTAGTTTCTTGAGTCAGAAAAGGTGTGTTTTGCGTTTTAGAGCACAAAGTACATGAGGTGAGTAAGTCGAAAACTGATGATAACTTTGAAAATCTATAAAATCTTCTTAAAATCTTCTTAAATTAAAATTCCAGTGTGTTTTTGAAAAGAAAATATTTCATTCATCTAGTCTATTCATTGCTCATCTATTTTTCATCACGTCTATTTGCTGGGATTGGCTTGTGAATAAAAAAAAATAGGAAATTACGTACGTAGTTTGGCAACGAAGAGACGAAAATTGGAAAATTGCGCTCCTAATTTAGGCCACGCATCCTCTAAACGTAAGAGAGTGAAGAAAAATAAGTCGATAGAGTTTTGGGGACTTTAAAAGTTTAAAGATTTGTAAAGTTAAGGCAAAAGCTATGGCAAAAGCAAAAGTAAAAGTCTTTGAAGCAGGCCAGGATTTCGCTGTTTTTGAGAGAATCGCTAGAGCTTCGTCCAGAAGCGCCCAATCAATTTACATCCAAAGAAGAAAATTTAGCAAAATCTTTAGGCTACATCATGACTACAATGAAAGGTTTCTAAAATGAAATTCACTCGGAAAAATTTGCATTTAGGGGCAGAGGTTTAGATAACTGGATAACTGATAAGGTTTAGACCCTTACCAGTTATCCAGAAAACTTCTAACGCTAATCGATTCGCTGTGTCGATTTATATAGGACACACGTAGGCTAAAAATCCGATTTAAAACTTGTGGAGCGAGCTAGAGGAGCTCAAAGTTGGTCGTGACAACCCAACTGGAGCGAGCTAGAGGAGCTCAAAGTTGGTCGTGACAACCCAACTGTTTTGAAGCAAACATTTATCTTCTAGACAAATGTCAGTCTGTCTGTCTGTCTGTCTGTCTTTGTAGAAAAAGAAGGACATTATCATGGTACTCCCTTTTGTGTCTAGCTACATTTGTGCATCCCAAATTCCCTTGACTTTAGTATGCTAGGGACAGTGCGTTTTCATTTACAAATTCTACATACGAAAGAACAGCTCAACTGGCGTTTACTGGGGTTTTCTGGAAAAGTTATTAGTAAGGGTTTTCTGGAAAAGTCTCGACCGAACAGATCAGAGCAGGATAAACCATTAACGATACAAGATATCTATGACAAACAACTACTTTGAAGAAATTCAATGATCACGAAAAAGTATCAGATAAAAGTTTGCAATTCCCGCAATTTCCAGAACCTAACAGAATGCGGGATTCGACGCGACGATCCTCGCTTGATGGCTATGTTAGCGAGGTTGAGAGAAGCCGAGAATACGGACAGCGATGGATTGCTCGATCCCGAATCTCTCTACTTGGATCGAGAAACATTCAAAAAGTGTTCGAATCTCAAGAAACTGTTTACACGTTTCTTTAGATCAGTTGGCGATTCGATTGGAGTGATTTCAAAAGCACTGAAAGGACAGCTGATCATCCCGGATTGGGGAACCTTCACGCAAACGATTGGCGAGATTTTCGATGTGGTTCGCCCGGAAAGGGGAGGAAATGTAAGTGTGATAAAAAGCTAAAATCAGTTCTAAAACTGTAATACGATATAATAATATGATCTTTATAATCTTTATAAGTTTTATAAGATTATAAGATTAGTCTAGACTGTCTGGATTACGGTATTCAATCTAGAATAGGATATTCAGTCTAGAATAGCCAATAAATTATAAATAAGCCAATTCTTTGGTTTTTGAGTTGCAAGCGAAAGCCAACACAACAGATAACATCACAGCTTCATTCATTTCTCGCATCATACATTTTTTCAAACGCACATTTTCTCCAAAGCTAATGCAAAAGGAAATTCAATCTCATAATTATTCTCGTGCCCTTTTTCCCTTTTTTTGTTCCTCCTCTTCTCCCATATTTGATTTCATTTATGCGGCCGCGTCAAACCAGAAAAGCTTTCGCATTCATCAAGCCTAAGCAACCGGGAAATGCAAAAATATAACTAAAATTGGTACTTTTGTGTTAACTGGAATCATTTCTGATGGATGATCTTCGTCATAGCGGTCTTCGGCAAACGGAAATTCGACAATCAAATTTTGTGAGGAAGAATTGGAGATGTCTTCACAAACCATCGTTGATTGAAACTTTCACTTGCGTCAAGTGTGTGCTTGGAGCTTTGTGAACCGAACTCAAACTGATGCCATTGAAGGCCCCGAGTCTACTGTTGAGATCAACGAATCACTCTTCGCAAAGCGGAAATATCAAGTTGGGCGAATGGTCGATGAGAAGTAGGGTTTTGGCGGAGTGTGCAGGGAATCAAATGGAACGTTTTGTGGGCTTGTTCCCAACCGACCAGCTGCTACTTTGATTCCAACTATTAGAAGTACATTGCTCCTGGAACCCGGATCATTTCTGATGGATGGTCCTCGTATCGGTCCCCGCTTCCCACCGCGACTATCAGTTCAATTGGGTCAACCACACTACAAACAACAACAACAACAACAACAACAAAAAAATATACTACTACTACTACAACCACAACCACAACCACCACAAAGACTATAACGACTACAACAACAACAACAACAACAAACAAACAAACTCGCTCCCATCAATCTAACCGTCCACCGATAAAATATTGAGAGAATGTAGCACTCATTCAAAGATGCAAATCGGCGTCGCTATGAAACTCATCGAACAATACTTGAGAGCTAAAAGCTAAAAGTAAAAACAAAAACAAAATCAAGTAAAATCAAGTGGAAAATGAACGGAAAAGATTTCCCTCAGCTAATTTTTTTTTCTGAGATTCTCCCAGATAAAACAAAAGTATCTTGAAATTTAGGTAGCCACGTATATCCCGCAATTGGCTCGCTGTGATCCAAACTATTGGGCGGTGGCAGTGTGCACGATTGATGGACAAAGGAAGAGTTGGGGAGATGCTAATGTTCCGTTCTGTCTACAGGTATCCATCTCATTTACCACTTGAATAGATATATGCCTGTTTGAAGCCATACTTGCATTGAGAAAAGCTGATAAAGAGACTAATCAATATGATACAGATTAAGAATGTTTTGTTGAGCATGAGTTTTTTAGTATTTCAAATTAAATCTCATTTGAAAAAACTTACTTACATATAATATAATTGGGCTAAATTGAACTTTACAGTTCAGAGCTAAAATAAATTCAAAACCAGTTTTTATGCCTTACTAGACTTGCTTAAAGAGAGAGATCAAGAAATCGGGTCGCGCAACTCCAAGCGCTTGATCTAGCCGTCAGAGCATCGGATTCCAATAAACCTTTTTCTATTTAAAAGCCAAGATTTTAAGCTATCGAATGATACTCATCATTTATATTTTTCTTTTGAAAAAGTCGGTCAAAAGCCTTATCGAGACTTAACGAGACAATTCTTCGTTCTCTCGTTAATTCTCGATAAGCCTTTTTTCTCGTTCTCGATTCTCGATACGAAGAATTGTCTCTTTTAGTTTCGATAAGGCTTTTGACCGACTTTTTCAAAAGAAAAATATAAATGATGAGTATCATTAGATAGCTTAAAATTTTGGCTTTTAAATAAAAAAAGGTTTATTGGAATACGATACTCTGGAGGCTAGTTCCAGCGTCTGGAGTTGCGGGACCCATTTGTCTCGTTAATTCTCGTTAAGCAAATCTATGCCTCGTTCTCGTTCTCTATGCCTCGTTCTCGTTAAGCAAATCTATGCCTTACTATGCCTAGTTATGCACACAAGAAAAAACACAAAAATAATGAGAAGGAAAATTTTTAAACTAAAAGTTCGAGTTTTTCTTTTGACCTTTTGGACCATTAATTATTAGTAGAGTTCCATTTAGCCTACAATTGTAATGGACAAAAGTTCTTTCAAAGCGCAAATCAAATTCCAACTCAAATTCCAAATCCAAGAACATATTTAGAGCGTTTCCAAGCCATTCACCTATGCCCTTTGTCACGAGGAGCTTGGGCCCGAGAAGCTGCATTCATTTGTCGGACAAGAGCCATCAGGAAGACTGTTCAATGAAATTTGTCTAGATCATTCGAGTAAGTGAAAACGTAGGCCATAAATATGAACATGTAAAATGATAGCAAAATGAGATTTCTATTTAGAAAAACCCCACAATCCGTTGATCAACGCCGGAGCGATCATGTGTGCAGCATTGATGAAAAAAGATGCCCAACTCGCTGATCGATTCGATTTTGTGAGTGGAATTAAATACTTAAACTGCAGGCAACACAATATTTAGGCTCTGAGAAGTTTCCGTCGTTTCGCTGGCAATGGATTTGTCGGCTTCAACAACTCGGTCTTTCTATCGGAACGAGATACAGCTGACCGAAATTACGCTCTATCGTACTACATGAGAGAACATAAAGTAGGGTCAATCAACAATCAACGATGAAAATCCTAATTCAGTGTTTCCCGGAGAACACAAAGTTTCAAGATACGATGGATTTGTATTTCCAACTATGCTCGATCGAGGCAAATGTCGACTCGTTGGCGGTGATGGCGGCAACGCTGGCAAATGGAGGAGTGAATCCGTTGAATGGAGAGAGAATTATCAATAACAGGTAAAATGGAAAAGTTTGTGGAACATGCAAAAATATTTGAATACTTTTCTATTGAAAGTACAATAGTTTTTGGGGTGACTACTTTGCGCAACTCACCTTAACTTTCTTCTAAGTTGGCCAATCTTCATGATTTTGATGTCATTTTGTTGCACTTGTTGAGATCTACAAAATGACACCAAAATTATAAAGACTTGCCCACTTAGAAGAAAGTTATGAGGAGTTGCGCAAAAACGGTCTTGAATAATCTTACTTGCCTTGGCTTATCTTGTTTTACATCTAAAATTCAATTCAGAGCCTGCCGAGACACCCTTTCATTGATGTATTCGTGTGGAATGTATGACTACTCGGGAATGTTTGCTTTCAAGAATGGACTTCCAGCTAAATCGGGAGTTTCCGGAGATATGATCATTGTGATCCCAAATGTTATGGGTACATGAAAAGTTTCCGAGTTAAACCAAAACTAATTCAGGAATTTGCATCTACTCACCCCGTCTTGACACTTTGGGCAACTCAGTTCGAGGAGTTCTCTTCGCTGACGAGTTCATCAATCGATTCAATTTCCATAACTACGACAGCTTGGTGAGTAGCAAGAAAAGGATATTTGTCATTATGAAAATGATTCAGGTTTACTCGGCCACTGACAAGTTGGATCCACGAAAGGTGGTAGTAGAAGTCGATCAGGATAATACCAGCCGGTAACTATTGAACAAGTATTTTTGACTTAGGTTTATTAAAACAAACACAAAGCAAGAAACAAAGAACAAACAAAAGAAGAACATAGAAGTTTAGTAAACTGAACCAACGTTAATAGGCAGGATATATTAATAGTGTTAACTCAAGAAGAAAAAATAAAACAAACTTCGGCGTTAACACGGGGCAACAAGTTCGATGAGAGCCGGCTCGTAGAATTGCGAGAGTTTCGAGAGGCCCGTCTTGACAAGAACGGAGCTGATGTTTCGCCCAACCGCTATCTCTTCTTTTGTTCAAACATCCTTGCGAGAGGTCTAGAAATAAAATCATAAAAACCAAAACAAATAGATTTACCTCTTTATGGTCCAATCCAGTTCGGAAAACATATAAGCGGTAGCCACTGTAGCCTTTCTTTGCAGCCGCCACGAATGGCTCGAGTCTAGAAAAGGCTACTAGAAAAGTTAATAACAAAAAAAAAAAGTTACCGCCGCTTGTCGGGCCTTCTCGGCTAGTATCAGATAGCCGTAGCATTCCGAGGCCTCAAGCAAAGACGATCCGCTTGATGGAGAGCCACCGTCCGTTCGACCACTGTCCACGTTCGACCATCTAAAACATATTTACTTAAATAAGGCACGCAGAAACATACCTCGACGTCAAATCGATCACTTCGTGCACGGCTTTGGCCTTCTTGCCGTTAGCAGCCTAAAAGAGAAATTTAGTAAATCAATGCTGTTGCATTTATTGTTGTGATTATTGCAAAAGATTGAAATAATTATCGATCAATTATTTCAATTATTTTTAATAATAAATTAAAAACAAAATAAAACCAACGTGAAGATAGTCGGCGATCGATTTGACGACATTCTTCGGAGTTGTGGGGGTCATTTCTCGCTTCTTGATTGCTATCTTTGCTCCACGGTCAATTGTCCTTATAGGAAATGATGTCGGCTTTCCTAAAAAAGAATCAATATCAAAAAAACGTTAAAACAATGAAAAGAAAGAAAAAGAAGGGGGTGGCTACTTCACGCCAATTTTTTTGCGCAACTCGCCAAGAACTTTCTTCCAAGTGGGCCAATCTTTATGATTTTGATGTCATTTTGTTGCACTTATTGAGATCTACAAAATGACACTAAAATCATAAAGATTAGCCCACTTATAGAAGAAATTTATGGCGAGTTGTGCAAAAAAATTTGGCGCCAAGCAGCCACCCCCAAAACAGAACAGATTCCTAGTCAAAAGCTACTAATTTCTAAAAAAAGCTTACCAAAACTACGCTCGAATTACTTAAAGCTACTTAATTACTTAAAAAAGCTTGCCTATAAGCTAAAAATTCAATACAACAAAAAGCTGCAACACTGCAACATTTTAGGATGATGTATGCTGCGAAGATGGGTGATATTCAGGCATTGAAGAGGTAAAGTTGAACTAAGAAAAACTTGCTATTCACCATTCAGATGTTTACTGATCGGAATGAACATCCATGAAAGAGACTACGATGATCGAACGGTTCTCCACGTGGCCGCATGTGAAGCAAACGATGTGGCGATTGAGTTCATTTTGACAAAATGGAAAGAATCACCAGGTAGAGTTAGAATTTATCATAATGGAATTTCAACAATTAAAGTTTTTGTAAAGCAAAAACTGATAAGGGATAGGCAACAATATGATGTGGCCAAATGAGATAAGCCATAGAGCATTCGAATTTCACGATAATTACGAATCCGCTTTCGGTTTTTGCAAAATGGCTTTCTATAAAAGGTGAAGTTTGAAGTTTTAGGGTGAAAATGCAAAAATTTGAAACCGAATGACTTTATAAGGGATGACTTTATAAGGGCTCTCTCACGGATCTCAAGCGTGACCAGATAGAATAGTAGATAAAACGCTTGCATATACCATATTTCTTCGAATAGAAGACCGGGTAAAGAGTATCATCGCGTATTCCTGCATAGCAGCCCTTTTTAAAATTTTATTTCTGCATAAAACCTTTCAATCAAGTGCTATAGGGCTGGAAAATGACTCAAAAATCTGTTAGCTCATGTGGTATTTTTGAGTCATTTTCCAGCCCTATAGCACTTGATTGAAAGCTTTTATGCAGAAAAGAAATTTTAAAAAGGGCTGCTACGCAGGAGTACGCGATGATACTCTTTACCCGGTCTTCTATTCGAAGAAATACGGTAAAACGAATGCTGCACTTTTTGCTTGAGTTCGATTCCTTTTGGCAAAACTTTTGTTTTGCGTTTTGATGTTTTAACACCTGAATTTTATCTGGCCTTAAAACTATTTGAAATATTTATACTATTATACATTGTGAGCGTAATCTTGGTACTGTAGACTTTGATCAACAACTGCCGCTACATACTTGGAGTAACGTACAACATTAAATTTTCAGTATCTGTACCAATTGGTCCTAAAGGGCATTTCTCCTGAATGAAAGTAGATAATTTGAAAATTTGGAAAACTTCGGTAGGCTTTCGTTTCAGATTTTGTTCGTTTTTCGTTCTACCGGATAAGAATTTTAATCTTTTCGATTCACAGCTTACTCCTCATTAATAAATATCATAAGTAGCCCGTACCTAGAAAAAATTTTTGGAGGGTAAGACAAATTTTGGGGCGGAGAGGCAAATGCCCTCTTGCCCTCCTCCTCCTTCTCCTTCCTCCTCCTCCTCTTCCCCCTCCTCCTCCTCCTCCTCCTCCTCCTCCTCCTCCCCCTCCTCCTTCTCCTTCTCCTTCTCCTCCTCCTCCCTCTCCCCCCCCCCCCCCCCCCCCCCCCCCCCCCCCCCCCCTCCCCCTCCTTCTCCTTCTCCTCCTCCTTCTCCTTCTCCTCCTCCTTCTCCTTCTCCTCCTCCTCCTCTCCCCCCCGGGTACGGGCCTGATCATAAGTAAATCGGACAAAATCTAAATGAAGAGTGCATACCTAGAAGAACGCATACTAGCTGTATAAAAATTATGCTTAATTTTACTATATGAAAATTTTAGAGCCCCGTGATCGATTCGGACGAACCCCGGCCGAGAACGCGCTCTTCTTCGGCCACACTCGATGCTCCGAGTTACTTTTTCGTGCGAATGAGTTCTTTCTTGGGCGAATCGATGAATAATATTTTAATTAATAGATTAAGCAATCAGTTTCCATCAAGTCCTGTTGAAATTCCCAATAGCCAAGTGCCTATAAAGTCTAATCCCGGTCCTCTAAAATATCCAGTTACTAAATCGCTCTCTTGCCAGTACCTTGATCTAATCGACCACTTAATCACTTCAAAAACTTCAAAAACTTCAAAAACCCTTAAATCGTCGAAATCTCTTGAAAACCTAATAACCCAAGTGCCTGTTGTACCAAAAAATAAAAGCTCGAAATCTTTCCTTCGTCGTTTTTCAGCTCGTTGTTGCTTCATGTAAAAATTTCTTTTGATAGCTGTAGTTTTTGGCAAAGCTAAACTTTTTGTAAAGCTAAAATTGTAATTTTTTATGCATTGAACCAGAAAATTCGAAAAAATTGAAAAGTTTCCGCTTACTTCAAAGTTTTTCCATCTATTTCTTGAAGAATATAAATTTTTTTCCTTTTTTCTTTCTCGGGTCTCTCTATAGTGTCATTTTCATAGTGATAGATGTATTTTTTCAATAGAATGAATAAAGTTTATTGACTTGGACCGACAAGTTGAAATACTGAGTATGCACAAAACGTCAGATGGGCAAGACTAGGAATTCCTATCGGACTAGGAATTCCTATCGGACTAGGAGTTTCTATCGGACTAGGAATTCCTATTCCTATTCGAACAGATTTCACAGAGATCATACCCCTCATGAGGAGAAAGGATTCGAAAACTCGAAGAAAACGAGCAACAATTGCGTAAGTTCGGTGTTGAAGTCCGGGAAAACCATGGGAATCCCGCCGAGAAACACTTCGCCTAGAATGCACACCTAGTGCACTTTGATCGTGTGCATTAACTGTAAAAATTGATGAGCTTGGAAAGTAATGGTGTGATGCTCTTTCTCCCTGTAATTTTGGAGTCGATCTGAAATGGTAAGTAGTTATAGTTCCCTTGTCAGCGCATAAATGATCAATGTTACTGTAACATTTAAAATCAAATCATAAATGTTTTTAGCCAAAAGACAGGTGTGCTAAAACAGAGTTTTTGTACAAAAAATTGTACTTCAAATTCTTCTATTAGAACGACATTTCGTTCTATTTCTTAATACCTCCAAAAACTGTCGTTCTAATAGAGCCTGTTGTTCTAATAGAGCCTGTTGTTCAATTAGAGCATGTTGTTCAATTAGAGCATGTTGCTCAATTAGAGCATATTGTTCAATTAGAGCGTGTCGATCTATTTTTTAAAGCTTACTTTCTTGCTGTCTTCAACCAATGATCATTGATTTTGATTCCAAATCTTTTTGAATCCAAATCTTTTTGAGGCGGCGTTGTTTGATGCTTCCTTTGCGTACTTGATGATTTCCAATTTGGTTAAAGCATAACCAAATTGCTGCCGATGCTTTCTTCCCTTCGATCTAGAAAGAACATTTCACGCTTTCCAATGACACTTCCAGCTAACCTAAGCCTTAAGCCTTTTAACACAGCCTCAACATAGACAAATAATGTGTAGAAATCTTTCTCTATTGCGTTGGAAATCTGACTCAGGCTATCTCGTCCCAGATAGCCCGAGGCGAGTCGGAGCTTTTCCCAGTCCAGCACGCCTTTTTGATGCTTCCTTGCAAATCGTTTTTGATGCTGTCGATGGTTGTTTTAATTGCTCTGTGTTTCCTGCTTTAATTGCTCACATTGCTCTGTGTTTAGAAACTTGCTCACAATCGCACAAACTTTCAAGTATACTTTACGGTAAATCATGATTTTCAAGTTGGATAATAAATAAAGACAAGCTATGGCCTGGTTTAGAAGATACGTTTGGAACAGTTCCCGTGTTTCTTTTTTCTTCTTTTCCAGTGACAATTTGCGCTATTCTGTGCGTTTTCCCTTGTTCTGCTGACCGAACTTATAAAAAGAAAACTTTCTCTTCTTTTAATCTATGAAAATGAAAGTTTTGGAGGAACGGGATGTGGATGATAAATCGAAAAGCCGCAAAGTTCGCCTGGAACTGACAATGAGTGAGAGTGTTGATGACTTTGATGATTTTCCCTATTTCATCAACTTCCTCAAAGGCTATTTTGGCTTTTGGTCGTTTTCAAATCTTATTATTTTCTTTTAATCTTTTGGAAGCTGTTATTTTGCATTATACTCTGGATACTGTGGCTTCTGAATTAACGAAGAAACACCCTTGGCTCTTCTATTCGTAAAAGGCCACGTTTTGAAATCACCCTTTTTTATAAACATTTTTCTATTCATCGACCCCTTCCCCCTTTGATCTGTAGAATGTGGTGGTCAATGAGGGAAAGTCTTATCAAAAGTTTTCCCTTCAATTCCTTCATTTTAATCTTTTTTCTGTTCTCAATTCAATCTATCGACGCTTGTTTTCGAACGAATGGAGCTGATCCCACAGTTGGTTAGTTTAATCCTAATGGAAAGGCGCTATTCTCTATCCTGATTAGAGTGTGCTCCTTGTTGACAGACAATTTGTCAGACAAATGTCCGACAATTGCATTGACAACTTTTTTGTCAAACAATTGATCCGGCAAACTCCCGACAACGTGTTTTCTAAAAGGTGCCCTTTTTAAGCAAAGCTATAAAAAGCCGCGCTAAAAAAATGGGCAAAATTTTTCTTAAAATGTAGTAATAGATAGTTTTATTGAAGAATTTAGGTTTTTTAGGGTGTGGAATTTGTTTTTGAATCGTTCTAGTGCAAATGTAGACAATAGGCCCAGTAAACTCGTAAATAATAGTAAATAATAGAAGTTTTTCAAGAGTGTTTCTTAACTTTTTCGTTTTTAAATGTTTTCGTTAATTTTACACAGCATTTTAAAATTTTTAAGTTTAAAATAGTTTGCAATTGCTTTATATTTATAGATTTATAGGAGTAAAGGCAACGATCACTTATAGAACTTACCCTATTATTGGGAGAAGCATCCATTTTTCTCTCACAATCACACTTTTCTTTTCTACGCGCTACGCTACGGGGTGACCAGAAATAACGTTGCGGCCTAATTTAGCCTATTTTTTAAAAATTCAAAAAGATTTTGTAACAGAAACAATTTTTTATTAACAACATGATATAAAGAGAGCATAAAATCTACTTTTCTTCAAAATGGCCACCTTTGGCTCCGATGAGAGCCTCAAACGCTTGATGAAGTTTTGGGATGGGCCGCAGCTCGGCCGGAGTGATTCGATCCCATTCCCTGGTCAACGATCGCTTAAGAGCCTCCAAACTTTTGTGGGGTTTTGCACAAGCCCTTGCCTCCAAAATTGACCAAACACTGTAGGAGTAAATAGTAGGAATTACCAATTTAACCTGTTTGAAAAAGAGTAAAAGAGAAAAAGTTATGGAAAGAGTAGTAGAAAAAAAAAGTGCAAGACATTTAATGTACATTTGCATTTTAAAAAGTTTCCTTATGCAAAGCATTCAGCAAAAAGTTTCCTTATGCACGGTAGCTTATATTTGGCGCGTGCTTTTTAGAAAACGCGTTGTCCGCAAGGAACACACTCTAATCCTGATAACTTGGCCTTTTCACTTTTGACCAATTTTGAACGTATTTCTCAACCATAATTTTTTTCTTAACCATTTTTAAAAAAAATTTGTATGAAAAGGCAAAATTATGGAACGAACTTTGTAATCAGCTGTTTTGTGTTGTTCTTTCTTTTTCATTTGCTTTTAACTATTATTAAACGCTCTGTTATTAGATAGGAAAAAAAAGACTTGCGCCCGGCCATAATTCGATTGTTTGAGGAAGGAAATCAAATGGAGATTGGAAAAAACAGATGGAGATTGCCGATCTTTTGAAAGAGTCTTACTCGATCGTTTCAAAAGCTATCAAACGTTACAAAGAGGCGGAAAACAACGACGACTGGATTGGGAGAGGACTTCCTAGGTCAGCTACTACGCCCCAGCGACGCTAAGTTATTGAACGTCTTAAACGTAACCCAAGAACTGCAAGAAACTCAACTCGAAAAATAGCGGAAACCTCCATTGGAATCTCTGATCACTCCGTTCGACGAATCTTTAAAAAAGAAGGAATCAAAGCCAAAAAAATGTAAAAGGCTATTTGCTTACGGATCCGATGAAATTGAAGGGTCTTGTACGTGCTAAAGTTCTTCAACGATGTTTTGCTGCAAAGCGACAGAGAAATTCTCTTCATTGATGAAAAGTGGTTTGACATTGAGCAAGCCCATAATCATCAGAATGATCCAACTTGGTCCAAGGCCGCCTGAAAAAAACGAGTACGAGAATGCTTCAAAGTACCGTTCACCCCTGGGCAAAATTTTGGCCAAAATTCCTGGACATATCACAGAACAGAGCCCATCTCACAAGGCACGAGGAACTCAAGAGTGGATCGCTAAGAGCTTTCCAGATTGGATCACCGTTGATGTCAGCTCACAAACTCCTGGTGAATGGCCATCGAACTCGCCTGATCTCAAGCTTCTCGATTATTCTATTTGGTCCATCCTGGAGATAAAGGCTTGTGCTAAATCCCCAAATCAATCGACTGTTTGAAGCGCGACTTGGTTAAGGCATAGGAGGACTCAATTTCTTTGACTATTATCCAAAAGGCAATCGACGACTTTCCCAAGCGCTTGAAGAAATGTGTTGCTGCAAATGGTGGTTATTTTGAGATTTAAAAATTTTTATGTTGTAATTAATTTGTTTTTCCTTAATTTTATGAATTGTTAATATAAATACAAATTGTTGTACGTTGCGAAAATTTATGATTGAGGAGTTTCCATTAATCGTCGTTCCATAATTTTGCCGCAGCCCGTACTATCTGTACGCTCTTGGTCCCAAAATTCTCTTGTTAAATGAAGCTTCTAAAAAATTGTTGATGGTTAAAATTGCGTTCAAAATTATTGATTTTGAAAAGGTCACGTCATCAGGATAGAGCTTAGAAAGCCTCATAGAACTTTAAGCGTTGAGCGTTTTTCTAGTAGCTGGAATTGGAGTTTGACAAATCGCTTTTAGCAACAACAAGGCTCCCCGTTGTTGCAACGACAAAAACTACTGCCTCGCCTACAATCATCACAACAACGACAAGACCGGCCACTTCTCCGACGACAAGAACAAACACTCATGCTATTACAAAAGCCTCGACATTAAGTACTTCTACGAAAGATACTACTACTCCCTCAACAAAAACCTCTACTACTACAACTACCGCAAGTACCACAAAGACGACAGCAACTACTACAACTTCAGCAGCCACTACGACAGCGACAACGACAACTACAACTACTACAACGACAGCTACAACAACGACAACGACAGCTACAACAACGACAACGACAACTACAACTGCTGCAACGACAGCTACAACCACAACTACAACTGCAACCACAACGACAACCACAACGACAACAACAACGACAACGACAACTACTACAACGACAGCTACAACTACAACTACAACTACAACTACAACCACAACCACAACCACAACCACAACTACAACGACAACGACAACTACAACGACAACAACTACAACAACGACAACAACGACAACAACGACAACAACTACAACCACAACCACAACCACAACCACAACTACAACGACAACGACAACTACAACGACAACAACTACAACAACGACAACTACAACTACTACAACTACTACAACTACAACAACGACAACAACGACAACAACGACAACAACGACAACAACTACGACAACAACTACAATAACGACAACAACAACGACAACCAGCACAACTACAACTACAACAACAACTACAACAACGACAACAACAACAACTAAAGCGACAACTACTACAACAACAACTACAACTACTACAACCACAACCACCACAAAGACTACAACGACTACAACAACCAAAACCACAACTACGACTGGCGAGTATTTTACTTCTGTAAACAAATGTTTTCTCAAAATTTAGATCAAAAGCTAATTCATCAAAAGCAAAAGTGTGTCATTGCACCTATAAATCCTACAAAAGTTTATGAAAAAATTAGCGATAATTTTTAGCTAAATCAACGACAACAACGACGACAAAAACGACAACAACGACGACAAAAACGACAACCACAGGAACTCCTAGTCGTAAGCGATTTTTAAATAGTCTAATGCTGTTTTGCTTCAGCTGCTTGTTTATCTTGTAAGACGAGTCAAATCACCTTTACACCGGCGCAAACGAATCGAACTGGATCAATTGATGCGACATTCAGGTTAAGCTTTTGTAGCTCATAAAAAGCAATGTCGACAAAAAATTTCTCTACAGTGGACCGACAAAAACAGGAGTAAACGGTTGCCTTCAACTTACAGCCATTTGTAACGGTGACGATGGATATGTTTCTTTTATGCAGGTAAGAAGTAGGTGCAACGTTTCAAAGTAACCAGAAAAAAGCTTTTAGTTTAACTGGCAGAATGGTGGGCCGATTGAAGATGAACTGATGCTACAAAAGACAACGGCAACGCTTGATTGCAAAAATGGGAAATGGTTTGTTAATGTTGGGATGGGGACGAGAATCAAGCTGTCTCAAAGAGCCAAAGTTATAGATTTTCAAGTCAGCCAACAAACTTGGAAATTTTTGGCTCAAACGTCAATAGGTGTGCAACAAAACTTCACATCTTAACTCCTTTAAAAGCAATTTTTAATTTTCTTTTACCATTAGATAGAGCTTGAAAAATACTATCTAATGGTAAAAAGAAAATTTTAGAAAGTTGCTTTTAAAGGGGCCAAGACGTAAAGTTTCGTTGTACACCTATTGGCGTTTGAAATGAAAATTTCAGATCTAACTAGTAAGATCTACTTTGTTTAGGTGAAGCCCCAATTTGTACTGTCTAAAATACTCAATTCGGGCTGAAAATCGGTAAAAAAAAGATGAAAATAAGCAAGAGAGTAGAGGTGTTGTTTTTAAAGAAGCAAGTATTTCAATTTTACATCGGAGTTGAACCAAGGAGGATTTCCACTGATTTAGGTTTAAAATTTGAAGTATCTTAAAAGTATCTTAAAGGGAAAATATCTAATCGAAGCCACCATTTTTCAGGTTTTACAAGGCTCGCAATGTGGTAGAAGTCGATTGTCAACAAGCAGGCTAAACTTGATATTTTCATGCACTTTTTCTGTTTAAAGTCAATTTTTGGCACTTTACATAGCTAATAAAGTGTTCTGATCTGTTTTAATAGAAAAAAAGGCTATTTTCAAGTCAACGATTGGCTAAAGAAAATGTTTTTTGTGCAAATCATATGCTAGTTTCTTGAAAAAAAAAAATCGCTTGTCACTTGTTTTCCCCATCTTTTTTATCTGATCTCAAAATAGGTTTGGATGGAAGAAAGACATTGTCAAGGTTCGGAAGAAGTTTGATGGAAGAAAGATCTGTCAAGGTTCGGCAGGTTAAGTGTATTTGTCTTCTAGAGCTTTGAAAAAAGACCAGTCACTAAGAAACTGTATACGACGCTTCGAAAAGTCGGGTTTGAGTCCTCCCTTGCTGCACAAGGGAGGACTCGAACCCCCGCCTCCTGATCCCGGGCCTGGCGCTCTAGCACTGAGGTACTTGCACAGTTGAGCCATCTCTTCAAAGAACTTATACATCCGGCGGTGACCCGAAGACACAGACAAGATTGTTTTTGCGTCTCTCAAATTCTTACAACAATTCTTACAACAACTCTTACAACTAACAAGGTCATCAAAATATTAGGGTGTAACTGGACTTCTGAATTCCTACTCTAAAACAACCAATAGAGAAAGCCTTGATTTCCTGACATAAGATAAAACTATAAACTAAACACTTATACTATCTTTTGCTTTAGATTCGGTTGCTTTTTGCTCTTAAAAAATGGAAGTTCCCGAGTAAACAAGGAGAAGGAATGAGATTGGTGTCATTATGAACCAAAAGGGTGTCGTCACGGTATGCAATTATTGCCCAAGAATGATGCGCCACCAAAAGTTCATCGTAAGAGCTGCGATGCTTCATGATTTTAAACAAGGCAAGAAACCTGCTGATTCTCTTCGTGATGTATTAAATGCATTTGGAAAAGGAAGTATTACAAAAAACTGGTTTCGATTTCATCGAACGAATGGTTTTATCGATTTGAGAATGGAAACGAGAGTCTTCAAGATGAGCCTCGACCTAGTCGCTCATCGGAGCTTGACAATGAAAAGCTTTTAAACGATAATGATCCCACATTGGCTACTTGAGAGTTGAGTGAAATGCTAGAGGTTAGTCACATGATTATTGGTCAATACTTGCATGCTTTTGGAAAGCGACTTCGAAAAGGAAAGTGTGTATCGAATAAATTGAGCATTGAGAACAAGGTATCACGAATCACTGCATGTTCAAAGCTCAGAGAAGCAAAAACTCCCGGTTTTTGGGATTCAATTCTAACTTCTGATAAAACCTGGATATTCTACGATGATTCTTGAATTCAAGAATCAATGGCTATCTCAAGATCAAATTCCGCAAACGACCCTTAAACGAGACATTCATGGCAAGAAAATAATGCTCTGTTATTGGTGGAATTCAAGACGTTTACGAATTGCTGAAACCTAGAAAAACAATCGTTTCGGATCTCTATTGTTTCGGAATAATTAATCAAAGTTAAGGCAAAATTTGGGCTACAATTTCTCGCTAGTTAATTTTTTGCAAGATAACGCAAAAACGCAAAAGATCACCCACCAGAAAATTGATGAAATCGTCTGGAAACTTCTCCTGGAAAGTCCTCACAGCTTTTTCCTCCGTCTTCCTCATATCCTCCTGATCTAGCACCATTATCATCTTTTCCGATCTCTCAGGCAATGCCTCGTGGGGTAATTGATCATTGATCGATACTTGCATGCTTCGTAACAGCGAGGAAGTCAAAAGAATTGCTTGATCACTATTTTACTATTCATGGCGCTTAGTTTTTTTTAGAAGGGACCTACGAAAAATATGGCAAGAATTCATTGATAATCATCGGAAATACCTTTTAGATTAGGCTTGTTTATTTGAGTTTTTTTGAATCAATTCTTCTTACCCAAAAATTTCCGTTATTTAAGTTACACCCTAATAGATGATCATTGTGAACAGCTGAAAACTTGTAGCCTCGAAACAGCATGATAGAAACCCATTTATCAACCCGAACGAACTATTTTCTAGTTTGGATTCAAATGGTTTTCTAGTTTTTATATCTTATATCCTAAGAGACTTTTAAAAAACGCTGGAAAAAACAATTTAGACATTCCTCCGTTTTTTGCTTTTAGAACTGTTGAATGCAATTAGCAAATGAGCAAAATGTAATCTGTGGGGATTAGAGTGAAAAGGGGTCATTGATTGAATCCAAAAAGAGGGGAAATTTTATTGTCTACAAGAGGTTTTCACTGAAAATTGAGTCATTTCTAGAAGTTCTCGCGATGAGCCTCGTGCTATTCCTTGTCTACTGCATTTATGGTATTCCCTCTACGATTCTCTATTTGATCGTCATTTACACGATCGTCGTGAAACGGCGAACGATTTTCGCCGGCTCCTTTTACCTCGTCTACCTGAATCTGCTTGTTGTCGTAAGTCGAAAGATTCAGTAATATGTTGGTGATCGTTCAAAATGCAATATGCAATATTTGGGATGTGGTAACCAATTTGAATACTTACATCAACTTGAACATCAACTTGAACATCAAGAACATCAACTTGAAAATCAAGAACATCAACTTGAACATCAAGAATATCAACTTGAACATCAAGAACATCAACTTTAGGATTTGGTAACCTATTTGAACACTTACATCAACTTGAAACCACGCGAAATCCCGGGAATCGCTGAGTATTTTGTCGACATCGAATTCAAAATACCGCCCTATCGTTTCTTCATTATGCTTTCATTTGCATGCTATCATTTACAGGCAAGCAAATTCAAAAAAGATTACCCCAGCTAGGTTTCAATATTGACTAGAGTGTGTTCCTCTCAAGTAATAGCTTTCTATAAGTAATAGCTTTCTATTTTCCGCCCCTCAAAGGCAAAATTTCGAGATATTAAATGTTATAAGCTGAATATCTTTAATTTTTGTCTTTGAAGGGCGCATTATAGAAAGCTATTACTTGAGGGGAGCACACTCAAATATTGACTACGACGGTGTATAGTGAGCTTCACACAATTTCTGTTTAACTAGTTAGCTTCACACAATTCTGTTTAACTAGCAAGCTTCACACAATTTCTGTTTAACTAGTAAGCTATTTGAGAAAGAATTTTTAATTGTCTTGTCTTTTAATTAAGGTTATGTTTTGGACTTTGACTAAAACCGAAAAGAACTGAATCGAAAAGAATATGGAACACAGTAAAACCTCAATCACAAAAACTCAAGGGATTTCAAAAAAACCTTTTTCTTCTCGAGGGTTTTCTTGCTATTGAGGTTTTGCTTCATAATGCTCTAGTAAAAGAGTAAAAAAAATGTAGAAAAATGTGCTCTTTGGTGCTACCAATGTTTTCATTTACACAAATAAGATTAATTTCATTCAAAAAAACAACATTTAAAGCAACGTCTTTATAAAATCGACAGCAAACTAACTAAAAAAAAAATTGGAGAAACCTTAGTTTATTTCGTTCGTTTGTTTGTTTGTTTGTTTGTTTAATTGATTGTTCCTGGAAAAATTCCTCGATTTTGCACGCATTAATCGTTGTTGAATCATTAAAGGGGGTGCAGATCGCGGCCGGGTCTTAAACAAAAAATTTTTCACGGTAACTCTATGTTTTTATTTTATAAAACTTACGTTTTATTATAAAAAAAACAAAAAACATCCGGCTAGGATGTTTTGATTTTTATTTTTACTTTTGGAATACGCCAAAGTTCAAGACCCGCCCTCTTTAATGGCAAATAATGACAGAAAACGAATCAATTTGTACGTTCATTGCTCAAAGGTACTCACTAGGGAAACATTACGGTTTTCCACACTTCACTAAGTAGCTGAATTTTAAAATTTGTCCCAAAGCGCAGCTATTTAGTCTGTCGCTGACTAGGGGAAAGGTACGAACATCCCGTGAGCTTTCGTTTCCGGACCACATACATCTTACTAAATCGAGTATGGAGATTCATAATCTGAAATCAAAAGCTGCCAAATAAGCTTCCAAACGCGTAAAAATTGAATTGAAATTTCGAAGCTTTAAAGGACTTTAAAGTATTGAAGAAAATGGAATTGAAGCTTTAAAGGGCGCTTTTCAATCGCGGGAGTTTGGGCGCCGGTGGCCTAGTGGATAGTGGGAAGGCCTTTAAGTCGTAAGATCGGGGTTCGGTCCCGCTCTTGGTTTTTGATTTTTTTTTCTTTAGATATAAAACTTTACCTTGTAACTATTCAATATAACAAAGTAAAATGAAATGTTAATGAAATATATGAAACGAGATTACGAAGCATCCAAAACAATAAAAATTTTCACAATACGAACATCTAATCAAAGCAAAGTGCGTGCGTTTTTTTTCAAATTACGATTTATATCACAATGAGCAATGAACGGGTAAAAACCTGTAAAGTATTACACTTAAAGAAAAGAGACCAAAAACCAAGCGCGGGAGCGAATTTCGACCTTACTACCGGGATGCCGTCCCATTATCCACTAGGCCACCGGTGTCCATATTATTGAAAAGCGCCTTTTAAAGCTTATCTTCGAATTTTCAATTCAATTTTTACGCATTTGCAAGCTTATTTGGCAGCTTTTGATTTCAGATTCGGAATCTCCATACTCGATTTGGTAAGATTTATGTGGTCCGGAAACGAAAGCCCACGGGATGTTCGTACCTTTCCCCTAGTCAGCTACAGATTGAATAGCTGCACTTTGGGGCGCATTTTAGAATTCAGCTACTTAGTGAAGTGTGGAAAGCCGTAATGTTTGTTATTAAGGCTATAAATTATACTAATTTTAATCGTCGGGTTACGGAAAAGTCTGTTTTTTAACGAGGCTTTTCTTTTGCTATCGAGATTTGACTGTATTTAGAATACGGCCTCTCTGCTGCTCCATTTCAATCGTTTCACGTGCACGATTTTTCCACTCTATCATCAAGTGGTCAGCTTTGGGAAAAGAGCAGCACAAAACTCTTTGTTTTCAGATCTGGAAACACTGTACCCAGTTTCTAATTTGTTTCCTCACCATTTACAGCTTCGGAGCTGTCTGGCCTGTTCCATTCGTTAACGGGATGTACGTGAATGTGAATGGAACCGTGAGCAGAAGTGTCGCTTTTTACCAAGTAATCTTGGGAAACATAATAAGAATACTTACTAGTTAGAGGCTTTTCGTCTAACACTATAAAATCTGAGAAAATCTTGGTATCACCAAGATACTTACTAGGGAAAGGCACCAGATCAAGTTGGTCCTTTTGATGCGTACCCAATTTGATAGAGCTTTGAATGGGGATTCTCAATCCGCTTTTCCTTTTTTCAATCGAGCTCTGCATTGCAAGATATCTGGCATTAAAGTCTAGGTCGGTTTTTTGGAGCTGTTATAGGTCTTATTTTACTCGCTGGTCGTAAGTACAGTAGTAGCGCAAGAGATAGTGCGAGCGCTCACAAGTTTTTCTCTTCTCGCTCGTTCACGAGGTTCGAATCCCCTCTATCTTAATCCTTTTTTTAGCTAAATGATCAAAAAATAGGATCAAGGCGTTTACAAAGCTATTAAACTAATTCAAGTCTTAAAAGCATTACATTTATGAACAAATATCATTGAAAATAACAACAATTAATATTCAAATATTCAAATATTCAAATATTCAAATACGAATATTAAAAAAAAAGGTGTTTTTTAATGTATTTGATGGATTTAATGCATTTAATTTAATGTGTTTAGTAAATTTCCATTTAGTACATTTACATTTTATCGTTCTTTGTTAATTGCAATCAATTTTTCAAAAAACAAAAAAAAGTTGGCTAGAGTGCAGTTTACCCACACGAAAAAGTTTCTAAAACCACTTTTCTGGGGGTTTTCGACCATGCTGAATCCGAATAACAAATTGCTGATCACTGGAAACGAAAAAAATTCTTCGCTTTTTGAAAAATTTGGCCTTAGGGGACGAAGGCAAGAAAGTTAAACCCTTTCTTTTAGTTCCTCTTTTATTTTTTGTTGATTTGATATCGATTTTACTACCACCTAGTTTTTTTCTTCTAGGAAAAGATTTCGAAAATTTTTCGTGGGTCGGCGTAAACTGGACTCTTGGAGTTGTTGGAGTTGGGAAAGTTGGAGCGGGGGGAGCGAATCGGGGTTCTTCTGGCTGGACGCCACCGATTTACCTCTAGACCACAGCTGCTATCATCTCGTGTGCGAAATTGGGTTGAAATACTGTCGGATTTCGGGTCTTAAACCTTGATGCTAGATATCTTGCGATAAAAAGCTCGAGTGAAAAACCTAAAAGTCGATTCGGAATCCCCATTCAAAGCTCTATCAAATACATTGGGTGCGCATCAAAAAGGCCAACATGACCTGGTGCCTTTCTTTAGTCAAACAATGTCTATCGTAATCAGTTTCTGTAATCAGTTTCCACTTCATACTATTGGGTTGGTGACTTGAAAACTGCGGGCTATTGTCCTATGTGACAGTTTGAGCACTTTCTTCAAAAGAAACCCATTTTGGTGTCAATGGAAAAGTTGTAGAGAATCAAAAATCAAGCTTATATCCAAATTTTCAGAACGATTCAAAAACTCGTTTTCAAGAAATGCGAAATTTACGAATTTTCACAAAACTTGCATTTTAAGCGAAACTACTAAGTGTATCTTTTTGGAAATTTGGCTATAAGCCTAATTTTTGATTCTCTACAACTTTTATATTGACACCAAAATGGGTTTCTTTTGAAGAAAGTGCTCAAACTGGGATCTCCAGTCTCCATCTCGAGTCCTCCATTTTTGAGTCTCACACTTGTCTCACACACAAACCAAAATCCTACTACAAAAGAGGAATCCGCAAATTGCCTGTAAAATGGGCAGAAGTCGTCAATAATAATGAAAATTATTTGGAATGAATTCATGGTTTTATGTTCAATAAATTTTAGTTCAAAGTCCCGCAGTTTTCAATTCACCAACCCAATATTTATCAGAAACCCATCTGATTGCAACGAAACCTATTTTTTTTCCAGCAACTCGCCGGTCTTTATATTTTTATGGAACTAATGGGTAAAATCTATATCGGAATTGCTATATTCTTTAATGGCTCCACTGCAATTAAGCTACTATATTTGCGCTATTATGGACAAAAGTTTGTGGTTTATTTTTTGTTAGGCCTTTGTTTATCACAAAAATTATCTAAAACCACACAGCAGCCATTCAAAAAAAAAGCATTTCTCAAAGAAGTTTAAACAAGAAATCTTTCAACTTTAAAATAAACATTTAGAATCTCGGGTACACAAGAAATTGGACTCTTCGTGATGGCGTTTGCGACATTTTTTTGTCAAATTCTTTGCCAATACGTTGTTGTAAGCTCTTTTTTTGCATAACAGTTAACTTTTGCTAAAATTCAGACTCAAATCAGCACTGTGGCAGCCGCCTACGTTTCCTACAGCAATATAATTGTAAGGCTTGCAAATTTAGGCTCTCTACGGAAAATGCGGGCTTTTCAAAAGGATCCATTTTGAAGCGCTTGTTTTATCTATCGAAAAAGCATCTTTTCAACAATTTTTAAACCATAAAGCTCTTTTTTAAGTAATATTTTAGTACAAAATCCTTTTGAGAAGAAGCTATTTTTGAAAGAGAAAACGAGGGTTTAAAATAGGTGTTTTTGTCTATGACATCATAGGAACACTTAATGAGTCTTCCGGACTACTATTCAAAATTCTTGTTTGAGTCTTATAAATCCTCAGCTTAGTAGAAAAAAGTTCTTTTGGAATTGTCTTTTTTTATGGTTTTCTTTGACTTTCTAAAAATTCAATAAACAAATCTTTAATAAGTCTCTTTTCGGATCATTTTTGATGATAAATTCAATTGATTTGATGTTGGCAATATTGGAAAAACAATGAACAACAATATTTTCATGTAGATGCTCGTGTTAAAGATGTTCGTTTATTTGTTGATTGATTTAGTCATCGGTTAACGCGGACATTTTCTCGCTTTCTGAAGTCTACATTGGTCTCGCCTTCAATCAACTGCTTCGGGTTCACGTTAAACAAGTGAGGTCACGTTGGTGATAGTGGAGCCTGATAGTGGAGCCTGATAGTGGAACCTGATAGTAGAGCCTGATAGTGGAGCCTGATAGTGGAACCTGATAGTAGAGCCTGATAGTGGAGCCTGATAGTGGAACCTGATAGTAGAGCCTGATAGTGGAGCCTGATAGTGGAGCCTGATAGTGGAACCTGATAGTGGAGCCTTGTGAAATTCACACCAAGCAAAATTTCAACACAGTTTTTAGGCAATAGTCGGCAAGAAGTCTATCGCGATTGCGATTCCGTACCTCCGCGTCACACCGGCTCCGTCACCAAACACGAGTCGACCGTGAAAACAATCCGAGATTTCATTCTAATCTGTTTTGAATAGAAATTTTCTATATAAGAGTTTGCTTCAGACAAAAACCGGCTAACTTTCACGTGCTTTCTTGTATTTACAGGATGCGAAAATTCTGTCCCTTTTCTTGTCTACAGGGTGCGCCAAAATTACGGCTATATGTTTTCAGCACATTGCATGCCAAACGCCGCAATCATTTCAAAGACCCCAAGTGTTATATAGAGAATTGAAGCCTTAGTTCTTGCCTACATTTCTATACCAAAAGATCTTTGATTGGAGTTTTCCAGCCTATTTTTCAGATCTTCAAATAAGCTGATTCGACCAGTCTCCAGCATGCTTTCATTTTTGGCTCTTTTCTAAGAATTTCCCGGTTATTCAATGCATGAAAAGATAAGATTTTGATTGGTATGAAAAACGATGATACCACCAAAGTGTTTTGACAATGTTAACCTAATCAGAACTTGAGTTAAAGAAAGCCCTCTTTAGATGTTCGGCGAAATTTGGGTTTTTAGGGTTTGGGGTGTTCAATTCTTAGTTTTATCTCCGTACGTGATGTCCTAAAGCTGTAAATTTGTTGAAAATCATTTTTAAATGCATAAAATGCTTTTAATAACGAAAAATTCTTCCTACATAAAAGTTTTTATTTAGAAAAGAGCTAAAAATGAAAGCATCCTGGAGACTGATCGGATTGGGTTTATTTGAAGATCTGAAAAATAGGGTGCAAAACTCCAATCAAAGATCTTTTGGTACAGAAATGTAGGCAAGAACTAAGGCTTCAATTCACTATATAACACTTGGGGTCTTTGAATTGATTGCGGTGTTTGGCATGCAATCTGCTGAAAAGATGTAGCCGTAATTTTGGCGCACTGATATTAGGCTGGAGAGAAACTCTATGCCGATTTTTTGGAAGACGGTCTTAAACTTATCCGATCTGGACTTGTAATAGCTCATTCGAAAGCTAATTTTCTAGCGAATTGGATAAAAAAACTCGTTTTGAATATATCAATTTTCAAAGTTTTTGCAGCAGCTTTACTGAGGGGCGTCAGACGCCAAATTTCAAAAAAAATTAATTTCTTCGTTTTTTTTCTACGGAAACCTAGGCTGAAACCATGTTTTTTGGAATCAGCGTTAAAAATTACTCTAGAAAACGCAAAACTCATTCTCTTAGCAAAATTTTTTTTAAAAACCTGCCGCGCGCCGGAGTCGAACCCTCGACCCTTAGATCACCGCTTTCAGAGCTCTAAAAAAGGAAAATTTCTTCCTTTTCCTTTTTTTTTGTTTTATCATTAAAAAGAAGGTGATTATATTGCTTAATTGTTTTAAGAAATTATTTTTTTATTTGATTTCATTGTTTTGCTAGTGTTTGTTGAATTTTAATGAGAAATGAGAATAATAATGTTTAGTTTTTGTTAAATGCGTTAAAAAATTTAAGAATATACAATCAAATAGAATAATTTAAAGATTTAACCAAATAAGCATGTGTAATTTAACAGATTTAACAGAATTTAACAGATAAAAGTCAAAATGGTAAAGATGATCCGAAGAGAAAGGAAAGGCAAGCCGCTTATGAAATCACGAATTGGCAAATATTCTTACTTTTTTACTTTTGTACTGTACTTTTTAGTACTTTTGTGTTACTTTTGCTTACTATTATACTTTCTGTACTGTAAAAAAAGACCGAAACCAACAAAAATACCAAGGAAGTTGTAGTTCAAATGTTATCGAGCTTTTTAATTTACGAAAATCAAAAAACCTATGAGAAAAAACGCTCTTTTGTCTCTTTTGCCAAAGCTTTTTTGTTGTTTGGAAAGTAAAAGAGAAAAAAAAGGAAGAGGACGCTGTTGCAAAAGAAACGACTTTAGGCCATGCTCACTGATCGCTTTTTTACACACAAACCAATCACTTTTTTTGCTTCCTGTTCCCGCAATCTCCTTAGAAATCAAATTATTTCTTTGAATACTTAATTAATTAGTTGATAAATTCTTTGCCTTGTAAAGCTCAGCTCAATAATGGGCCAATCACAAAGCACAGTGGGCGTGGCGGTGAGGAATCGTTCAGAGAAACGAATTCGCTGTCGAGTCGATGCCTCCCGTAGCTTTCTTCGGTATTCAGCGATTGATATAACCGGGAAAGTCAAATGTGCACTTGGTGAGTTTTAAAGTAAGCATGCGTTCATTCAGGCAATGAATTTCGTCATTTGATTTCAACACATTTCAAACACACTTGATTTGACTTGAAAACCTCCTTTAGCTTTAGCCTTTTTAACCTCATCAAGTTTTGCATATATAGTCGACTTTCGATACAACAGTTTTGAAATTCTAAACCATCCCCTGGGTCTTTTCGTTGCTGCCCAGCCAAACGCAATCGTTATCCATTCAGGGCAGCAAAATTTGAGGCACATTTTAGAAGGGTTAAGTCGAAATTTTCAGTCCGGAGCGAATCATTAGGTCGAGAGTCGACTGTAAGACGGTGAAAATGTGTTTTTTTTTACTTCGGTAACGTTCTTGAAACAAATGATATGCTAATTTTCTCTTTGGTTCGGAAATCAGCTGATAAACACTTAACAATCGCGCCAACATTTCAAGCTTCAGGCTCAATTCTGACGAGTCTCTCGTATTCCTGAACCTTTGATGTATTTCACATTGTCGACACCGGCGCCTCATTCACCACGATTTCCAACGGGAATGAGATTCGCTTCGACTTTGCAAAAGATGAAAATATGCACGCTTTCCTCACTGTCTGGTCCGAGAATGATGACGGCTCATGGTCGATCTTTTGCGAGAATCATCCGGTGATGAAATGCGGGAAGATCTTGATAAGCAAGAACATTCTCTGTCGACAAGAGTTTCTCCATACACATGGTCCATGGTGGTTGAATCAAGTGGTTGATCGAGAGGATGAGGCTGGTCGAGTTGTTGTCTACAATCGAACCACGAAAAACATTTGGGTTAGTTGAAGATGACATGGCTTATTATATAACAATTAATGCCACCATAAGGTTCACTCTGGCAGTGAGATAAAGTCGGTGTGGCCATTGGTAGCACAGTCGCCCGGAAAACAAAAATCAAGGCTCGAGCTCGAGCCGGCGCTGCTCCTGTCGCTTAACTTGACTTGACTCTGCTCAACTTTTAAGATCTTCAGATGGCTTTCATTAACTGTATTGATAAGCCATATTTGGACAATCCATTTGCAACATATCTGCTCAAGTTTGCAGGTCCGAATCGATGCCGATGGGATGGAGAAAACAAAAGAGACACTCGCTCAGTCGGTTGGAGCGTCAGCAGGTGAGGATAGCTTTCAAATTTTTAATATACAAAGTTCGCCAAAAGTTCTGTCACCTGGGTTTATAGATTTTAACCCAAATAGCAATCAACTTTCGATTTTTTCAGCTTGTTTTATGAATATGAAATAAAAACGTATAAAAAGCGTCAAATCAAATGTTCCTAGAAGAATTCTATCTTTTACTACAGTCGAATTTCGATACAACAAACTGCAAGGGACCGGCCGAAGAGTTCTTATATCGAAGTGTAGGATATATCGAAATTCGTTGTATAGAAACAAAGAATCATTGGTTTTTTTTGATCAATTCGCTTTATAGAAGTTTTTGTAACAAATCTATTTTGAAAACAAGTTGGAAAAACAACTCCGTGACGCTTCTTGAATTATCCAGCCAACCGCCAATCGCTTGAAAGTAGCTAATTCCTTCCAAGCTTGCCAAATCCATCACTTTCTCTCGAAGCAGATTGCCGTCAACAAGCAGATTCTCTCGGAGCAGATTCTCTCGAGGCAGATTGCCGTCGCTTTGGCTTCGCATTTGCTTGAGCCAAATAAGCACAGATTCTTCGATTGATTCGTATTTGCTCGTCTTCAATCGTGCTCTTTTTGCAACTCCTCCTTTATCGGTCATTTCTTAAGAGTTGTTGAAATCGTTGATCGCGGCAATTCGAAGTCCTTCGTCAATTCAGCCTTCGCCTTTCAAAGTTGATTGATCGAGTATTCGCTTCTTCAAAGCCAAATCGATTGATCGACACGTTGACTTTCCTTGCTTCATCACCTAAAATATAAGAATGTTTTCAAAAATTAAAGTATAAAAAGAAAATTAAGTACACTTAAGATAAAAAACGTTACAAGTAGTAAGCAAGTAGTAAGCAAGCTATTTAAAGCAAAACATTTCAAATTCAGCAAGCTGTTTAAAGCAAAACATTTCAAATTCAGCAAGCTCTTTAAAGCAAAACATTTCAAATTCAGCAAGCTATTTAAAGCAAAGTATTTCAAATTCAGTAAACAATTAGATATTCAGTCAAAAAGCAGAAATCCATTTTGCTTTGCCTATATTTTAGGGAGGTTTGAGGGAACTTTTGGGAACTTTTCAAAAGGGAACTTTTGGCGCACCCTTTAGAATGTTTATTTTTAGCCGATTCAAGCAAATTGTCTCTTTCGACCGAGCGGAAAGTCTACTATCGAGCTGATCAAGGAAAGGGATATACATTGGTGAGAAATTGTGGACTGACCAGGGATTTTACTGTTTTCTATGTGAACATCTCGAACAATATTTTCTACATTTCGATCGACTATGAAACGGAGTGTGAGTTTTTTGAGTAAAGAATTGAATGGCATTTGCAAATGGCCACATTTCGTTTGCTTATAGATACCGAAATAAGTTTAGCCGGCAAGCTGGAGACACATTGTGTCAATCATTCGACTCGTTTCTTAACGGGTGAAGAATCGACGCCAGATGTGATGACAAAAGGCGTTAAACTGCGCAGCTATCAATACTCGAGTTCATCTTTCGCCACCGTTGCTCACACTCCACATATCTATGTGAGCGATGAGGGGACGGGCGTCGAATTTCATCTCAAACATCAGCCACACTTCTTCGAAAAAGGTTTCTTTGAGAAAAAAACACGGTAAAGCTTTTAATAAAGCGTTGTTTTTGTTTACATAAGCTAAAAGAGCATCATCTATTTTTAATTTAACATTTAAGCAAAAATTAGAAAATTACAGCTATTACCGTAAATACTGTAATAGTCCCCACAGCCATAATGACGGTGTGGAGCGTTGCGTAGTCTAGCTTTGAACAAGTTTTTCTCGACACTGGTTTATGCTACAATGCGCTCTTAGGTATCAAAAAATAGCCCTGAATTTCAGCTATTTTTTGATACCAAAGACGCATTTTTTGAAAGTACGGGTGCTTTGAAAAAAATGAAATACCAAAAAACTTTTGCGACTACGCGACTGTACGAGGGCGTGGGGTACTATTACAGTATTTACGGTATGTACTTTATGCGCTTACAAGCACAAGCTCTTTGGCTTACTTTTCGCCAATCTACCTACCGTAAATACTGTAATAGTACCCCATCTCCATAATGACAGTGCGGAGTGTTGTGTAGTCTAGCTTTGGACGCTTTTTTCTCGACACTGGTTTACGCTACAATGCGAGCTTAGGTATAGTTAACTAATTGGGGTAGATGTTAAGCGAAGCCAACAAGGTTATGCCACAAAATGGCCGCAGCAGATTTTGACGCCGTAGAGGTGCAAACGTATTGACGGTAGATTGATCTTTACAATTATTTCCAAATTTTTCTTTCCATCGAAAAGAATTCTTTACTAAATTTGTTGCGTCATAAACTATTAAAAAAGTCTATAATTTCTTTACAAAATGGCTTTTGAGAGAAAGCTCAAAGCTCGCCTCAAAGCTCGCCTCAAAGCTCGCCTCAAAGCTCGCCTCAAAGCTCGCCTCAAAGCTCGCCTCAAAGCTCGCCTCAAAGCTCGCCTCAAAGCTCGCCTCAAAGCTCAACTCGGTAAAAACTCATTTTTGTGTAAAGTTTTTAATGATTTTTTTAAAGAAAACGGTTGGACAAATCGTTTTCAAATTTTACAGACTTATGTAATCAAATGAGCTCTATCTTTTTTCTATTAACACCAAAATAGATTTGTATTGAAGAAAGCGTCCAAATTGTGACTTCGGTATCGGAGCAGTTTTGGGTGCTCGTCTTTGCGCCTTTGAAAATCCACAAAAAGAACTACTTCCAAGAATTGAAGCCAAAAGCCTTCTCAAAAGCCATTTTGCAAAGAAACAATTAACCTTTTTAATAGTTCACATAGAAATTTTGTTGGTGGTGGCATTATTTTTAAAAGAGATTTGGCAAAAAAGGTTAAAGACTTATGCATCAGCTTAATATATTTCAATTGTTGGTTATTACAGGATACTGAATTCTCTCCCCTCCTTGCCTCTAAAAAATCTACCAGAAAACCACAAACCATTGCATGAAAAACTGTGATTATTTTGTTAAAGCATTGAAAGAAAATTTTATTTTGCTCTTTGATAGTTGCTTATATTTTTACTAAATAAATCTCCCAGTTTACTTCAAAAGTGTTATTTTTAATTATATTTAAACGGGGTATAAGTAGCTAAAAATGACGCTATAAAAATACAAAATACAGAAAATACGGAAAACAAATTCAAAATTCAAAATTGATTTTGCTAACTACTCATCCGTCAGGTATAAACATAGATTGAAACTTTTCTCACTAGAAACCTTAGAACCACCCCCGTCTTATCATAGATTTGGTTGAGTGCTTTAAAATTGTAAAAGGAAAACATCAAAACCCTCTTTTTAAAACATCAAAACCCTCTTTTTTTCGACTAAACTCGAGGCTTTTGGCGACTAGGCGTGGCTATTTTATCTTGCATCCCGAATCTGCTTCGTTTGAAAAATTTCGAGCAACTTGGCCAGCTGGATTTTGAAAAATTTTGTCAGTGCAACTGTGCAACTTGTCAGTATCCCACTGGACTACTGGATGATCCCTCCCTTTGTCTTCGAGGATTTATCCCCAGAACGGAATTGAACAAACCAGTTTGCACAGATCCGTAGTGTAGCTGATCCTTCCACATAAGTATTCTCAATATTAGCTGAACGCTATAGGTTCTTTTGTCGTTGTAGAAATTCGTACAACATAACGAAAGATCTCCAGCTGGTAGATTTTCAATAGTTAGAAAAAAGTTAAGTAAAATGCGAAAAACCAAATATGTTAAAAGTGAAAGTCCATTGTTTTCGCAAGAGTGAATGCTCATTTACCTACTTTCCACAAACTCCCTCATGTTTGTTTAAATCCCTGGAATTTAATTTGAAAAAACCTGTCAAGTCACACCCACAATAGAAAATTGATCGGTTGCTATATATTCAAAAGCTTTTCAATTATGAAATCGCTCTCACAATTTACTACAAGTCCGCTTTCACAATTTACTATTAGGTATGTGAAAAAGTAATCCACGTTTTTTATTTTTATTTTGATTAAATAAATATATCTAAACAATTTTTAATTTTTTGTGAACGATATATATCGTTTAAAAGCTTATTTTTTCCTCTTTCGAATGATATATTCATTTTGTTAAAAGGACGACAATAAACTACTTTAATTTTAGTTTGAAAATCGTATACACAAGTATCGTTATTCGGTCAAATTTGCTTTATGAGTTCAAAAATGGGTTGAAAGCTGCGGAGGCTGCACGTCGAATTCGGAATGCGTTTGGCGAAGACGCCGTTATTGATGATACCGCTGGGTTTTGGTTCCGACGATTCAAAGGTGGTAATGAAAGCCTAGAAGATGAAGAGACCACGTGCCGGTCGCCCTGAAACCTGTTCTGATGACCAAATAAGACGCTGTCTTCTCGAAAACCCTCGTTCAACCTCTTTAGAAATAGGTCTTACATTAAATTGTGATGGATCAACCGTAAGGAAACGCTTGAATGCCATGAATTTTATTTAACGAAACTTATGGTCTATTATATTTAAACGTTAAAAACGTGGATTACTTTTTCACACACCTAATACAAGAATTCGCTTTCACAATTTACTACAAGTCCGCTTTCACAGTTTACTACAAGAATTCGCTTTCACAATTTACTACAAGTTCCAATAATTTCCGTTTTCAACTTCATGTTATATGTTAAAGCAATGTAAACTGAAAAAAAACTGTAAACTGAAAAAACTATTCTCTAAAATGTATATCATTATGTTTAAATCATTATGAATAAATATTAGATTACAATTTTTAAAAAAAAAAAGACAGAAGTTTATGCTTTTCATTGATAAAGCTTGTCCGATCTTTGATTTTAAATCTTCTTTCATTCTCATTTCATTCATTCTCATTCGTCTCATTATTCCACAAGTCTTGGCCGGATTTAGCACTTTCTTTTCTCAAATTTGCTAGTGAAGTGCACAAGCTTATGAAAAAAAAAATGGAATGGAATTTCTTTTTTTTTCGTTTCAACGTATCAATTCACAGGTTTACAGCGGCTTCTTGCCTATTTCTAAATGTTCTGTGAAGCGGAAAAGAAGCTGATCTCAAAGTGCTGCTTATCTCAAATTTGCAAGCTCATTTTATGACAAAAAGATAAGCCTCATTCGGCTCCTGTTTCAGAACGAAAATGTCGAAATATGAAAAGCGTTTTATTGGCGGTGGAGCTTTTGGGAATGTTTTTGAATTGGTTGGGCACAATCCGTGAGTTGAAATTTTGGGAATTTCTCAAGTTCTAGCCCTAGATTGGCCAAAATTGGGCTTTCTGATTTTTTTGGAGGTAAATCTCAAGTATATCCCCTAAAACAGTGCCTTTTAGTTCTGAACCAGAGCCACAGTACTGAACCAGAGCCACAGTACTGAACCAGAGTCACAATTATAGCGCCACACTTTAGAGGGCCTAAATTGGCCAAAATTGTATCAATCGTTCTGATTTTTTTGGAGATAAATCTCAAGGATATCCCCTAAAACGGTGCTCATTATCTAATCGATTCAAGCTTTCGACTTTTTTCTATGACCTTGCAAAGTTGTGAGCCAAGTATTGCTCCGTACGCTACTCATTTCGCTACTCATGCGATTTTTGAGAGCTATCTTGTCAAAATCACGTTGAGATTGAATTTATTATGTTAATAAACAAGCTTTCATATGCTATTCACACGAAAAATCAGAGCAATTGACTCAATTTTCGCCAATCTAGGCCAATCTACGGCGCTATAATTGTGGGCCACCCTTTAGGAATAATTCAAAAGCTTTACATGCTCTTTACAATGCTACACATATGTCACAAATGTTCAGCGTTTTTAGAGAAAATTCTAAGCCCTTAAAGCCAATTCTCCAATCAGAAAGCCCGGGAAATAAAAGCCGTTTCATTTTGGGACAGAGTGCCCAAAAGTTTTCGCACAACTTTTTGTAAAAGCTAGCAAATGTCGATCTTATTTCAAAAGTGACAAGTGCTATATAGCAATTTAAAGTCCAGAATCTTGGCTATATTCACATATCAAAGGCTTTTTAATTGGAGTCACACAACTCATGTGACAAGTTTTTGAGTGACAACGAGTAGTGCTCACTTAAACACTTCTCACATGAGTTATATAGCTCCAATTAAAAAGCTTTTTGGTATGTAAATGTAGCCAAGATTCTGAGCTTTAAATCGCTATATAACACTTGTCACTATTGAAATAAGTTAGACATTTGCTAGCTTTTAAAAAGGTGGACGAAAACACTCACTCATTTGCACTCATTTGTCATCTCATTTTAGTCATCTCATCCCATTGTAGTCATCTCATTTTAGCCCAGCTGTGGTCAAATATATCGCTTGCTTCCCTAATGAGAATCTCCTTACTTTTCAAAGAGAATATGACATTTTACGGGGCTTAACTCACCCAAATGTCGTCAAAGTTATCGAGACTCAAATCGTTGACGATAATCTTGGAATCGTCATGGAATACTGTCAACAAGGGCCGTTAAATGAGTGTCAGTGAATTTGAGCGGTTTTTTTTTCTTTTAATCCATCTTTTTAGTGGTATTTGATACGTTAATAATCTACACAATGAGAACCGCTATCGTTTGGGGAAGGCAACTTTTTGATGCCATTGATTGTATGTATAGAATTTATCATCTTGTTCATCGAGACATACAACTTGAAAAGTGAGTTCAGCGCTCTATTATTGTACTTGAACAGCAGATATTCTGTTGATCTTTGTGCTGTAGTTTGGCTTCGAATCTATCCTAGCCGGAACGCATTACAGTACTCTTGTTATACAGGAATGAACTTGCCGTATTGTTGCTGTACTGTTCTGTACTGTTGCTGTACTGTTGCAAAAAGCTGTACTGTTGTAATAACTTGCCGTAGCCATAGCCTGGCCTGGCATAGACATAGCCTGGCCTGGCATAGACATAGCCTAGCCTAGCATAGCCATAGCTTGGCCTAGCCATAGCCTGGCCTGGCATAGCCATAGCCTGGCCTGGCCTAGCCATAGCCTGGCCTAGCATAGCCATAGCCTGGCCTAGCCATAGCCTGGCCTGGCCTAGCCATAGCCTGGCCTGGCATAGCCATAGCCGGGCCTGGCATAACCATAGCCTGGCATAGCCATAGCCTGGCCTGGCCTAGCATAACCATAGCCTGGCCTAGCATAACCATAGCCTGGCCTAGCATAGCCATAGCCTGGCCTGGCATAACCATAGCCTGGCATAGCCATAGCCTGGCCTGGCATAGCCATAGCCTGGCCTGGCCTAGCCATAGCCTGGCCTAGCATAGCAATAGCCTGGCCTGGCATAACCATAGCCTGGCATAGCCATAGCCTGGCCTGGCATAACCATAGCCTGGCCTGGCATAGCCTGGCCTAGCATAACCATAGCATAGCCATAGCCTGACCTAGCCATAGCCTGACCTAGCATAGCTATAGCCTGGCCTAGCCATAGCCTGGCCTAGCATAACCATAGCCTGGCCTAGCATAGCCATAGCCTGGCATAACCATAGCCTGGCCTAGCATAGCCATAGCCTGGCTAAACCCACATTTAAGTAATTGAATCAACTCCGAACATGCGCAACTCAACCGATCTCCCAGCGATCATCAAACTTTAGATCTATTTTTAGTATTTTTGTGACTGACGATTTTCGGTTGAAGATTGGAGATTTCGGTTTGAAGAGACTTATTGAAAGGGCTCGTCCTGGCTCTTCTGTGACCACAAATCGTTATATGAGTCCCCCGCTTTGGGATGAAAAGAAAATTGTAGACAAACAAAAGGTTAAAAATTGAGATTTTATTAAGAATTTATTGTTAAGAAGAAATATTGTTTTAGGCCTTTCATAAAAATGATGTTTACGCGTTGGGGCTCGTTTTTTGGACAATAATCGAACGAAGGTTTGGACTATTTTGCACGAAAAATGAAAGATTTTCTTAATAGGATGGTTTGGGGTGAATACAATGTTTCGGGCGCTTTTCACCGGGATTATTTCATTGCCGATATATCTACTGGAAAGCTAGCCCAACTGGAAAAGGCTATTTGTCCAAAAGATGTTCAGGAAATCGTTGAGCGGTGGGTTTTGGAATAGTTTTAAATGAGAGAAGTAAGTAGGAAAGAAAAGATTCGTCTGCAAAGCGCTTCAGGGAGTTTCCTTGTACCAGGGAAGACTCGAATCCCCGCACATCCGCGCGAAAATATGTTTTCTATATATAGGATTTTTACATTTGAATAGCCATTCGACCCAGAAAAATGTGTTGAATTTGAAAATGAAAGAATTTTTGAAATCTCTTTGATACATTCTTTAAAAATCGAGTTTTACTGGTTCTTACAGTGTTAAATTTCAGCCATATTTTATTGTCGGAGCTAAATCTTGAAAACAAAAGCCTAAAAGAAAAATGTAAATCACAGGTTTTATTCTACGGGATTTTCTCGATCTTTTGATACCAAAAACATAAAAATTGATAAATCCTACAAAAAGTTATAACATCTTGAAAATAAAAATGTAGTTTGTGGGTTATGGCGAACTATAACGTGGATAAATTACCGTAACCTGACAAAGAAAAAAAGTAAAATTGAATTTTGACAAAAATAACAAAAAAATGGTTTGATTGACCTATAGAAGTTCGGGAAATTCGCATATTCTTTGCCATCCTGACCTGCGAACTGTCAAGTGGCTGTCAAGCGGCTGTCAAGTGGCTGTCAAGTGGCTGTCAAGTGGCTGTCAAGTGGCTGTCAAGTGGCTGTCAAGTGGCTGTCAAGTGGCTGTCAAGCGTAGCTGATCTCGAACTTTCTTGATATTAGCCTTGGTGACAACAATCGCTTTACCACCATGTCCGGGACGATCAGAATTTGTTCCTAACCCTTGAAAGCGTTTGATCGTATTAGAAATTATTATTAGAAAATGTATTAGAGAAATATAGAGTTTACAGGGGGTCCAAGATTACGGGGACTAAAGAAGAAACGTAAGAAATGGCTTTTGCTGGCTGACGTAAGAAACTGGCTTTTGGAAAACTTACATTCCAAGACGATTTTCGACAATACGGCCTATAGAGGTTCGAGAAATTCCCATATTCTTTGCAATCCTGGCCTGTAAACCAGCTTTCAAGCGTAGCTGATCTCGAACTTTCTTGAACTTGATTAGCCTTGGTGACAACAATCGCTTTACCACCATGTCCGGGACGATCAGAATTTGTTCCTAACGCTTGAAAGCGTTTGATCGCGTTGCAAACAAGTTGCTTGCGTATCATCAATCGCTTAGAGATATCCATTGGCAGAACACCACGCTTGTGTAGGTCGATGATCGCATCTCAGGACACTAACTTCTTGGCCATTCTAAAAAGAGATTTTTGAGAAAAAATAGTAAGTAAATAGTTAAATAATAATAATAATAAGTTAAATAATAGGTCAGTTCGGCCATTCCCTTGTGAGTCTAGCGCACTACTATTGAGCTACCCGGCACAGTGAAATCGTCTCTTCAAAGAGCACACAGATAGCAAATCCTCACTCTCACAGAATAAATAAATCTCTTTTCAGGTCTGTACAGTTCGACCGACGTTTGAGGCCAGACGCTGAAGAAATTGCTGCGAAACTAAAGTAAATTACTATTTCGCATCTATTAGTAAAAAGTAGAGTAAAATGTTGATTCAAAATAAATTTTAGAGAAAACAAGCAGTTCGACAAACTCGATTTTACCCCAATCAATGAATCAAATCAAAAAGAACTTCTAAAACCAATCGGTTTCAATGGCGGCCGAGAAAGGATACCAGTGGAAAGCTCAAAAGAGAGAAATTTGTCGGTCAACAATTCAGGCGCCGAGATTTTCCACAATTTTTTAGAATCTTGGTCAAAAGAATCGATTTGTGATCAACTGAGTCCGCAAAATACTCAACGAAGAAAGACATTGATTCGAAGATTATTGAAGCTGAGCTCAGAAGAGAGGGAAACTCTGGGAAGAGTGATTCCGGAAATGATTGATAAATCTCCAAAAGATCTAAATGAAATCATTAATTATTCGAATTTTCCTGAGCAATCAAAAGTTTTGGAACAAACAGGACTTCTGGAACAAACAGGACTTCTGGAACAAACAGGACTTCTGGAACAATCAAAGCTTCTGGAACAAATCAGAACTGTCTCCAGAGCAACTCTTCGCTCTCTTGCTCGTCAACGAATTCGATCGACAGGAAAACCTTTTGATAAAGGTTGCTAAATGTTTAGCCTACAAGAACAAAGCGTGGATGAATCCATGGCCATATTTCGATAAAATCATTCAATTCATCATCGTTTTTGTTCAATTTAAATGCCTTCGTCATTGGTCAAAACATTTACTCTGCGAACGCTACATCTCACAGAGAACCGGCCACGAATGGTTTCATTTTCAGTCAACGAATTCAAATCTTGTCAATTCAAATGTCTTCTTCACAAAGAACTTTGCTGAAACAATCGCAAATGGACAATGGAGAGACGGGGAGAGAAAAATCTGGCTCTATGGAAGTGATCGCTCACCGCAGAACTACGATCAGTTACACTATTTCGATCAGAAGCCATTTCAACTTCAAGAAATGGTAGACACTTTGGAATTTCACAAAGAATCTCTCAAATCGATTGCTCGTTTACATATTACAAAATATACTTCAATCAATCATTCAATGATTATCAAAACAAAGGCCACAAGATTTCTACCAGATTTCCACTCGGATTTCCCGATTCCCGGCTATGTGTTCCAGCTTCGGAATCCGCCACGATTACCCTGTACCTGCAAGCATCAGAGATGCTCTTTCGTTAACTATTCCCTAATTGGTTCTCATATTCATCGAGTGCTTCCTAGTCTTGACTCATTACAAACTCCGATTTATGATTGCACTTCGAACACAACCCAGAAATATTTGGATGCTTATTTTGCGTTTCTTTGCTTAATCGAAAGACAACGACAAGAAGAGAAAAGTGTGCCGAACAAAGCGAGAGAAAACGAGAAATTCTTATTTCTCACTTGCAGACTTCGAAGAAAGTTCGGCTCGACGTTTTTCATTTTGGGCGATGATCCGGGGAATTATCGACCTGGTGAGCGGATTCCTTGCTACAATTTTGATCGTGCTTTCGAAAGTATTGGAGCTGATCAAGTGATGCGATACTTTGAAGAAACCCCAATCGAGAAAAGGTTGTATATCTTGATGAATAGTGATGAAACGGTGAAAGTGCTCGACTATAATGGTGAAGCTTTGAGTTCTGTTTTCAAATTGAGCGATGAAACGAGTTGGCCAGATGTTGTCAAGTGAATTAACTCTCTAGAGTCACAACTCACACGTAGAACTTATCCAAAAATATCTTTTGTTTGTTCTTTTCCTTAATAAATAATTTTTTTGGGAAATCTGTAAACTAAAAAGTTTTAGGCTTTAATAGAATAATGGCTTTTTAGGCTTTAATAGAATAATGAAGTAAACAATAAAGAAAAGGGAAAACAACTGCCGGCTTTGCAACAAAACTGGGCTCTATGAGACGACATTTGGTGGCAGATCTGACCAGGGAAAGGCAAGCACTTGCAGTGGCCATTTGGCACGACACCAAACCCATATTATACATGGTATTCCAAAAAAAGTTAGTTAAGCGCGATTTTTCTCAGAATTTCTAGTGGCTTTTTAAGCTTACAAGCTTTAAGCTGACAAGCTTCAAGCTCACAAGCTTTAAGCTTACAAGCTTACAGGCTTCAAGCTTACAAGCTTACAAGCTTACAAGCTTCAAGCTTCAAGCTTCAAGCTTACAAGCTTACAAGCTTACAAGCTTACAAGCTTACAAGCTTACAGGCTTCAAGCTTACAGGCTTCAAGCTTACAGGCTTCAAGCTTCGAGCTTACAGGCTTCAAGCTTACAAGCTTACAGGCTTCAAGCTTCGAGCTTACAGGCTTTACAAGCTTTTTAAAACCGTTTTAAAATAAACTATATTCTCAAGCAATTCATTATATCAAAGCTCAACCATAAATGGATCTTTACGGTTAACGGCAGGGTGGAGGGCGATTATTTTTTCGGCCAATTTTTTGACTAACTTGCAGCTCATCTTTAAGCACATTAAACTTGTCAGATCGGTGGATTTTAATAAGATTTACATAGCTTAGAACGCCAACTTTCAGAAACTATTTGTTTCATCAAAAGTTATTAACAAAAAACCATATACAGGATGTCCCAAAAAAAGTTAGTTCAGCGCGATTTTTCTCAGAATTTCTAGTGGCTCCTGGCTTCCTACACATGAAATTTTTGAGCCACCATGATCACCACCACCATATGATCACCACCATGAGATTTTTATCATAAAATTAAAACTTTCTACTGGCATCGTGGTGTCATATTATATAAACTAAGATTTTTAGCCAAGATTTTTAGCCAAAGATTTTTAGCTCTCAGCTTCGCTAGCTTCAGCCAGCGATTTCCCCCGACTGAGATTCAGTGTTAAAAATAATCGCTCGCCGTCTGGTAATTGCTCATAGATAGGGGTTCCCTTTTGGAATTCGTAAAAGGAAAGGACTGAGCTCACTCACCGACATTTAGGCATCACTATGCCCAAATTTTCGCGCGATCAAAGAACCAGAAAAGTTTATCTGTTTCGTTTTTCAATAAACAATTGAAATTATCGATTGAAAAAAACATTTATTGAAATGCTAAACACTCACAAACGTACATATTGCTTACCAGTAGATGGAATCGGAAAAAAAAAATGGGAACATTAAACGCTTAATTGGACTCAATCCAGAAATTTCTACGAGAATAATCACAGAGATAAGTACGAGTTAGAGAAAACCCATAAAAAAAGTGTCAAATAAGAAAACAAGAAAACAAGGAGCTACACGGAGACTGAAATTTTGCAGTAAAATTTATCTAGTGAAAAGAAAACGATTTGAAAGTGCCGTAAACATTTGGGTAACTGATTCAAAACTTTCAGCCATCGAAAAAGTATAGCTCTGTTTAGTATAGCAAAGAGTATAGCTCTCTTTAGTATAGCAAAGAGTATAGCTCTGTTTAGTATAGCAAAAAGTATAGCTCTGCTTAGTATAGCAAAAAGTATAGCTCACTTTAGTATAGCAAAGAGTATAGCTCTGTTTAGTATAGCAAAGAGTATAGCTCTCTTTAGTATAGCAAGAACTATAGCTCTGCTTAGTATAGCAAAAGGTATAGCTCTTTCTCATTGTTAGTTACGGCACTTTGAAACTTTGTATAATCTTGACTAAACCCTGACTAGAATACGGGAAAACAAAGAAATTTTTGCTTACGATATGTGCGCAAAGAAATTTGTCAAGAGAGAGAATGAAATGATTATCGAGAGAGCGAGAGAGAGAGAGAGTAAGATTTGGAGATCAAACGTATGCGAATGTATAGAAAACGGGAAAACAATGACAAGTAAACTAACTAAATGCACAAATCAAAGACTAAAGTTCAAAAAATTCAAATTCATTGCTGTGTGAACTGATTGTGAACAAAGAAATTTTTGTTTACGATATGCGGGCAAAGAAATTCTGATGAATGGGATAAGCGTTGTCGGAGTGTGGAGGTGGCGGAGTGACCAAACTGTCGACATTTTCATCGACAAGATCCGGTGAAGCAAGGAGACTCGTTGGTGGTTCGACGCCCGAGCCGTCCTCGGTGAACTGAAAGCTTTTTCATATTAGCTTTCCATATTAGCTTTCCATAGTTTCATGGTTTGAATTAGTTTTCCATAGTTCCCGGACAATTTACAGTGCTTATAGTACTAGTTGAGCAAATCAGGCTGCCTAGGCTGAGGCTGAGGTGGTCAAATGACATGAACCATAAACCATTCGACGTAGAATTTTACGCTGATGGCGATGCTGTTTTTCTTTTTTTGCTACGCAGCACTCTGTCAAAAGTTAAAAGTCAAACGTCAAAGTAAAGCTTTGTAAGGAGTTTCAAAAATCAAACGGCGGCCTTACAACCCTGTCTTCCCCTATATAAGACTTCTTTCACCGTCTCGAAATGTGAGCTTGTGGTGAGTCTGGATAAGAGCCTTGTTTCCGAAAGACTTCTTTCACCGTCTCGAAACATGAGCTTGTGCTGTAGTGGATTAGAGCCTCATTTCCGGAACAAGCTATCAAGTTTTTGCTCAGGTTCGATCTCTTCCTTTTGTTTTGTTTTTATTTTCACTTTAACTTTGATTTTGATGTTTGAATTCGCTCTATTTTAAGTTTATAATAAGTATTATGATATTAAGAGTTACTTGTTTTTTTTGAGCTCATTGATTGATTATTTGCTTGGTAAACCAGAGATTCGGGGTTCGAATCTGTTCGCCGATCGAACGCCGATCTGTTCTCAGCTCAGAAAATGGCTTACCTGGGTCTAACTATTCAACTTATAACTATTTTAAGTTTATAATAAGCATTATGACATCTTTCATTCATTCATTCATTCATTCTTTCATTCATCTTTCATTAGAGCTTGCTGCCATGTGTGTGAGTTTTTTTGTTGTGATCACTTAAAAGATGTGTTTGTTATCACTTAAAAGATGTCATAATACTTATTGTAAAGTTAAAATAGAGCGAATTCAAGCGGTTAAATATCAAAATAAAAAAAAAAAAAGGAAGGGATCGAAGCCGAACAAAAACTTCATAGCTTGTTCCGGAAATAAGACTCCTACCCACTACACCACAAGCTCATGTTTCGAGGCGGTGAAAGAAGCCTTATATATGTCGTAGCCGATTAAGGATTTCAGCCGAAGAAGTCTGAGAATTCTTCGGCTTCTCCTTAATCGGCCGATGAAGTCTCAAATTTTTTCGCTAGCGAAACCTTCTTCGGCTAGCCGATTAAGTCTGAGACTTCTTTGGCTAGCCGATTAAGTCTGAGACTTCTTCGGCTAGCCAACTAAGTCTGAGACTTCTTCGGCTAGCCAACTAAGTCTGAGACTTCTTCGGCTAGCCAACTAAGTCTCAGACTTCTTCGGCTAGCCAACTAAGTCTCAGACTTCTTCGGCTAGCCAATTAAGTCTCAAAAATGAAATCTTGAGTTATGTATTGACTCAAGTCAATACCACAAACTCAAGCTCTCTAAAAGGCGCTTAAAAGCTAAAAAACGCATTCTAAAGAGTGCGCATTTTATCATACTGTAACCAAAGGCGATGAAACGGCCCTTTTCGCCATTTTCTATCTGATTCGTCATTTATTTGAAATAGAATTGTTTCTTTTTGTAAGTCAATTTGACTCCTTTGTTGGATCATCGATAAAACTTGTTTACCACTAATCTGTTTATAATCGAACATAACCCCTTATTTCAATCCTATTTCAATCCTATTTTTTCTTTTTGTTACTGTGCATTTTTTTGTTTAAGCTACACTAATTTTTGTTGATCGTTAACCGGCCAAAGAGCTCCTCGTTCTTGACGACTTTCTTGGGTTTGTCCAAATCACCTTTGATCCCATGATTGTAAAGCACCTCATGATTCAATTCGTATCGAAGAGAGAATCGCACTACAAGTTTTTAGTTTTTAGCGCCTTTTAGAGAGCTTTCAGAGAGCTTTTAGAGAGCGTTTTTAGCTTTTAAGCGCCTTTTTGAGAGCTTGAGTTTGTGGTATTGACTTGAGTCAATACATAGATTTCATTTTTGAGACTTCATCGGCTAGCCGAAGAAGTCTGAGACTTCTTCGGCTGAAATCCTTAATTGGCAATCGACATATACACTACTGGACAATGAAATATCATATTTGAAAAATGATCGTCACTTTCGCGCGTCTGTAACTCCCTTGTCTTTACCGCATTTCTAAATATTAATATTACCATTGTGTAGCCCTTGAAAAGAGCTTTCAGAAAATGTATAACACTAATAGTTTAAACTCAAAGAAAAGAGAGTTACAGACGTGCAAAAGTGACGATCGTTTTTTAAACATGATATTTCATTGTCCAATGCTGTAGGTGAGACAGGGTTGTAATGTCGCGGTTTGACTTTTGAAACTCCTTACAAAACTCCAAACGCATATAACTTTTGACAGACTGCTCCGTAGCAAAAAAGAAAAACAGCATCGCCATCAGCGTAAAATTCTACGTCGAATGGTTCATGGCTCATGTCATTTGACCACCTCAGCCTTTTGCTTTTCCCCTTGTGAGACTGGGACTTCAAAAATGATCGAAGCCGTGTTTTGAGCCCGCAACCTTTCGCTTACGATTGAGTTTCCCAATCCTGTACCCATCGACACAAAGTACAGTCTTATACCTCACTTATTTACTTATCAATTAGACTACAGTACCCTCACCGGAAAAGTGTAGTATGTAAACCTATAAATATAATATTAACACTTGTTTTATATCATTTTATGAGGCTTTCCGATCAACCTAATGCAATTTGTCTCTCCATCAACTAGAAATCTATGTATCCCACTCACCTTCACTAAGAATTCCTCATTCGTAGCTTCCGAATAGAGCATCATTGTGATGTCCTTCATTTTCTTGCTCCGTCCCATTTCACCGAATCCTGGACCCGAGATTCGAGGTCTGAGATTTGGCGCCGCTGAGTCACCGAAACGCTCTGATGGCTCCAATTCGGGTGGAGAAGAAGAAATTGACTAAATCATCATTAAAACACTCATTGATTTCAGTTTTATACCTGTTTTCCACCCAAATCCAACTGATTTCTATCATCGAATTTGTTGAAAGCCGGTGGTGAGATGATTGATTGATCGGGAGGGGAAACGACCGATGTCTGGAGTGTTTGATGGGGTTGAGTCTGAAATCGTTTTTTGATTATAAAGCTAAATCTGCTGTTCGTCTAAGCCACAACTAACCGGATGATTTTCCTTGCTCTTCTTCAATGTCACAGGTTGATTCATAAGAGATGTACTCGCGATTGGAAAGTGTCGTTGTTGGAGTGAAGACACTTGAACAACAGCTGGCTGTGGTGGGAGTAACTGTTGCTCGGCTCGTTGCATGATTTGATGAATGGATTGGCGGTAGGCTTGTTGGCTCTGAAATGGGAAAATTGATTCAGATTGGAGTTCACAGTTTTGAGCAGTTGCTTTAACACATAGACGACTCAATGCTAATTCACGCTTGGCTACCCGTTCGGTCCACGTGACTCAATGCTCGGTCACGGGTATTTCTCGTAGACAAAATGAGCTCAAAATTTGCCAAAGCATGTAATTTTGGGTGCTCTTTCCGAATCCGATGTTAGTTTTATTAGGAAATTGTATGATTTTTCGTAAAAAGTGGAAAAATCGGACCTCGAACCAAATGGTCCGAGCCAATCTGAGAAGGGAATGATCCGAACTGGCCAAACGATTTCGCTACACCGCTGAGATGCAAACGCCTAACGAACATGGGGAACACGATGCTCTATTTATTTTTTTCCTATTCTTGAGATAAGCTTGCGCTTGAGATAAGCTTGAGCTTGAGATACGCTCGAGATTGAGATAAGCTCGTCAGTAGTACTCGTCTAAACTCGTAAGTTACTGTTTTAGTTTCCAAAAGAAACTGAGAACCTACAAGAAACCCCGTATTTGAGTATTTGAGATAAGCAATAGTTCTAAATCCTCCATGAAAGGTATCATTGATCCAACACCCACCTTCCAGGCGTCAAGCGCTTTCGTCTGCTCATCTAGCGCATCATCGACAATTGGCCCACTCACTGCTTTCTGATTGTCCTTCTCTTGATAGTGTTTTATCAGAGCCGCTTTTTGTTTCTCTTGTGCCACTCTTGTTTTTGTATCCTAGAATAGAGAAATTACGAACACAAATCAATCAATCATTTTTCCTAAAACTTACCCGACACTCATCCGCGTAAGTGATCGCCATTGTGTTGATCTTTGAATAGCACAATTGCTCGTACCTAGAATTATTTTTTAAAAATAACATAGCCTTTAACACATTCAAAAAAAGAGGCTTTTGATCTTTGCGTAAGTTATTTCCCTTCCAGTTTTTTTGTAACTTATTTCGTTTCCCTAAAAACGTTCACAGGCAATTGATTTACTTACCGTAAATACTGTAATAGTATCCCACCCTCCTAATGACGGTGCGGAGCGTTGCGTAGTCTAGCTTTGAACGAGTTTTTCTCGACACTGGTTTATGCTACAATGTTCGTTTTGGTATCAAAAAATTGCCCTGAATTTCAGCTTTTTTTTGATATTAAAGACGCATTTTTTGAAAGTACGGGCGCTTTGAAAAAAATGAAATACTAAAAGCTTTTGCGACTACGCGACTGTACGAGGGGGGTGGGGTACTATTTATAGTATTTACGGTAAGTTAAGAGAAGAGAAATGAAAAGAAACCTTTGAGGATCTTTTTTTGAAATAAAAAATCATGGCTTTAAAGAAAGTTATGAGCTTTTGAATGTAAATTAATGCAAATTGAATGCAATGAGCTGAGAGAATTGGATGCAATGCAATTTCCCGGGTCACCGATGAGCCTAGAAATTTCCTAAACTCACCAATATCGTTTCATTCGAAACTTTCTTCAAACTCAATATTTCTTCTATCTATCTTCTAATCTATTTTCAGATCAGTGATTTGTGAATATTTCTCGTCATTTTCACTCGTAACTTAAGTAAATCGATTGCCAATGAACGCTTTTTAGATTACTATGAACGATTACTATGAACGATTACTATGAGCGATTACTATGAACGATTACTATGAACGATTACTATGAACGATTACGACCATTACTATAACGTTACTAGAACGATAATGAACGATAACCTACTATGAACGATTACTATGAACGATTACTATGAACGATTACTATGAACGATTACTATGAACGATTACTATGAACGATTACTATGAACGATTACTATGAACGATTACTATGAACGATTACTATGAACGATTACTATGAACGATTACTATGAACGATTACTATGAACGATTACTATGAACGATTACTATGAACCATTACTATGAACCATTACTATGAACCATTACTATGAACGATTACTATGAACCATTACTATGAACGATTACTATGAACCATTACTATGAACGATTACTATGAACGCTTTTTAGATTACTATGAACGATTACTATGAACGCGATTACCAATAAACGCTTTTTAGAAGAGCTGGAAGGGAAATCAACTTACACAAAAGACAAAAAATGCTTTAAACAATGGAAACTTAGCTGAGAAAGATTAACTTTTTGAATAAGCACTCATTTTTGCTTTTTTTTGCTTTTTTTGCTCTTAAACTCACCAGTATCGACTCATATCGCAAAACTCGAAGAGTTTGCACACTTGGAAGTCGTGACAATGTTGATTGCAGATTAGCTTAAATGAATACTTTTCTTTGTTTCAATAAAGTGAGATTTAAATAAAGTGAAAGATATTTAAAAAGTTATTCAGCTTTTACGCCTAAATTTAAAGGTCAAAAAAAAATCAATTTTAGCTTAAAGCACTATTTTAAACAATTTACTTGTTATAATGTATTGTTTTAAACGAAAATCTCACCTCAACTTCGGCGAGAACGAGAATGATTTGCCCCATTCGCACACCGGCCTCCATCAAGCTCATCCCGCTATTCAGATAGTATTCGTTCAATCTGAAATTTTAGAAAAATAGACTTTAATCTGGTAGGTATTCTACCAAAGAAGAATTAGATTTTTGTTAAAATTCGATCAGATAACAGTTTGAGTTCAAAACTTGTAAACCAACCTTCCGGTGAACCATTCTCGTTGTTCTTTCAGCAATGGACGAGTCTCCTCTTCAACGTGTATCGAGTCTAAAAATGATAACAATTGGTTTATATCTGATTATCTCTTTCTTCCTTTCTTTCTTCCTTTCTTTCTTCCTGTCTTTCTTTCTGTCTTCCTGCCTTTCTTGAGGTGAGATTTTCGTCTTCCTGCCTTTCTTCCTCCTTTTCTTCTCCCTGTCTTTCTTCCTTCTTTTCTTCTTCCTCTCTTTCTTCCTTCTTTTCTTCTTCCTGTTCTTCTTCCTTCTTTTCTTCTACCTCTCTTTCTTCCTTCTTTTCTTTCCTCTTCCTTGTCTTTCCTATTTCTTCTTGGGCAAAGAAGGCGCCGATAACTCAGTGGTAAAGTATCTACCTTGAGCAGGGTTTAATTCCCCTTGGTTTCAATTCTTTGCCATTCATTTTTTCTTTACTTTTACATTCCTTTAAAGCTGAATTTTGATATTGACTTCTTTAAATACTTACTTAAAGGACTCCAAAGAAGCATCCCGTGAAGAAAAACGATCTCAATGTCTTGGATTTGCATCTGCTCAAACGGAATTATAACCGTCCGCCAGATTCGCTCGAAAGTTGGGCGAAAGATTCTGAAAACAATAGATGATTTTTGTTAATGATTTCTGTTTCTGTACAGTTCATTTATGCAATTTCGTACAGAGAAAAATGTTGTAAACCTTTCCTCAAAACATTCATTTTCTTATAAACATGTAAAAGCTTTGCGGTTTTTAGATTTGATTCGGTTTTTAAATCGTGTAACATGTAAATTCTTTCGTGTAGCTGTACTATTGCTGTACTAGCTGTACTATTGCTGGACTAGCTGACTTAAAGTTATACTAGCTGTACTAGCTGTACTATTGCTGTACTAGCTGTACTATTGCTGTACTAGCTGTACTTAAAGTTATACTAGCTGTACTAGCTGTACTATTGCTGTACTAGCTGTACTATTGTTGTACTAGCTGTACTTAAAGCTGTACGATTCTTTTACGTACTCTTGTTTCGCGGCGATCTGTTGTGGATCATCAGTGTTTAGCTCGAATCCCGTGGCTCCCGGTGGCACATAGGTGTTGTTCAACATGCAAAAGTTTCGCTTCTCAATGTGTTCCTGAAAAAGTAACAGTTTATTTTCAAAGCTTTACTTAGCTTCAAAGCTTTCAAGGCGTTCAAAGCTTCCAAAATCTCACCCTGTGTTGAGAAGCGACATAGAAATGATCCAAGCTCAACTTTCGCACCGAATACCGCTTGAGGAGAGCTGTCTAAATATGAAGCGGATTGATTGAGAACAAAGTGAAATGCTCAAAGTTCAAAGTTGTTTCCTTACCCGATCACTTAAAGGCAATGTTGCATAGGGTTTCATCTTCGAGATCCAATAGAGCAAACCGGCCAGCTCGGCCTTGCTAAGTCCTTCAACGTCGTCCGGTGTCATCGCTCTTCGCTAAAAGAGTGTCATAATTTTGAATCAAAAACAGCCATGGTAACAGCCATGTTAACAGCCATGTTAACAGCCATGTTAACAGCCATGTTAACAGCCATGTTAACAGCCATGTTAACAGCCATGTTAACAGCCATGTTAACAGCCATGTTAACAGCCATGTTAACAGCCATGTAACAGCCAGACAGCCATGTTAACACCATGCAGCCATGTACAGCCATGACAGCCATGTTAACAGCCATGTTAACAGCCATGTTAACAGCCATGTTAACAGCCATGTTAACAGCCATGTAACAGCCATGTTAACAGCCATGTTAACAGCCATGTTAACAGCCATGTTAACAGCCATGTTAACAGCCATGTTAACAGCCATGTTAACAGCCATGTTAACAACTTTTTTTCAGTCCATTTGCCGAGAGAGCACCTATCTATGATCAATTGCCAGACGGCGAGCAATTATTTTAAGCACTGAATCTCATTTCGGAAACATTTATAAAGTCGGGGGAAACCGCTGGCTGAAGCGCTGGCTGAAGCTAGCGAAGCTGAGAGCCAGTCAAGCTGAGATATTGAGCATTTACAGGTATTTCGGCTCTTTTGAATGAATAGTCACACTTTGAAGTTCCATAACTTCGAGATGATGCTAGCTAGAGATGCTAGCTTCGTCTAGAGATGCTAGCTTCGTCTAGAGATGCTAGCTACGTCTAGAGATGCTAGCTTCGTCTAGAGATGCTAGCTTTGTCTAGAGATGCTAGCTTCGTCTAGAGATGCTAGCTTCGTCTAGAGATGCTAGCTTTGTCTAGAGATGCTAGCTTCGTCTAGAGATGCTAGCTTCGTCTAGAGATGCTAGCTTCGTCTAGAGATGCTAGCTTTGTCTAGAGATGTTGCTAGCTTTTAATGCTCACTTTTTGTATAGTTTTAATAGGGATACTTCAGGCTTTCAAATGATACTAGATAGAGGTTGATTAGACTAACGAATTCTGAGAGAATCAACAGAATTCTTCGATTCTCCGAATTTGGATCTCGATTTTTACTTGATTTGTTGCTTTTGATTGTGACAACTAACCGGTTTCGGCTCCAAGAAATCGGGAAACGATAGCATATTGAGTCGCATCTGTTCAACGTGTTCTTTGTACATCACAGCCATTCTAAACTTTGAATTTCATTTCTCATTTTAAAGTGATTTTCGATTCTTTCTATTCTTTCAATTCTTTCAATTCTTTCACAAATCCTGTTTACTCCCCATTTCGGTTCAATCTCGAATCCTTCAATTATCTCCGGAACTTTTTACTCCACATTTTTCTCGGATTCCCCTGAGATGTTTACGGGAAAGATTTGCGGGGGAAATGTAGGGAAATGTAGTAGAGAATTGTATTCATTTTGAGGTAAGAGTTGTCAGGGGATTACTATAAAAAACATGAGGAATGAGTTTCTATTTTTGAACTCAAGACTTTGAGTTTTCATTCAATCAAAACAAGACGAGTCAGTGGTAGTTGTCAGTGATAGTCAGTGAAAGATTGTGCGACTAAAATCCTAGCTCAAGTCAAGAGCAAGGTCACCAAAAGCTTGATACACTACTGGACAATGAAATATCATATTTGAAAAACGATCGCCACTTTCGCGCGTCTGTAACTCCCTTATCTTTACCGTATTTCTAAATATGAATATTACCATTGTGTAGCCCTTGAAAAGAGCTTTCAGAAAATGTATAACACTAATAGTTTAAACTCAAAGACAAGGGAGCTACAGACGCGCGAAAGTGACGATCTTTTTTCAAATATGATATTTCATTGTCCAGTACTGTAATTATTCAAAGGTAACTTTTTAACATAAAATAAAGATCGAATAATGAAAATAATGAAAACCACCAAAAATGGCAAAAATGGCTCATTGAATGGCTTGTACTCTTGGCTATATTACTAGCTCTTGAATGAGTACTAGTTGATCCCTCTGATCGTGCCGGAGAAGGATCAACTAGTACTCATTCAATGGCTTGCAAAACGAGTTGTTTATCTCCAATCGGGAAACTTTTATTAGATAAATGTAGCCAAGATTAAGGGCTTTAATCTTTCATATAACATTGGGTTGACCGTAACGCTTGGGAGCTAATCTACTAAAAAGAAATCGTCGTAAATACGGAAAAATCGGTATGAGCCCAAGTTTTGGTTTCCAAACTACGACTCACATATTATGCCTTGAAAACAATCAATGATCAATCAATGACTTTAAGATTCCATGTAACTCAAGACTAGGAATGTTTCAACCGGATTCCAACCAGATCTTTGAAATTTGTAAGCAAAACCAGACTAAGACTGAATCCAATTCTGACTGGGCTTTGTTCAGTAGCTGACTGGGCTTTGTTGTCAGTAGCTGAATGGGCTTTGTTGTCAGTAGCTGACTGGGCTTTATTGTCTCTTCCTTGTCAGTGGCTTTGTTTCAAACTTGGACCAGAAAACGCCAGCTCTGGATAAGAATCCAGTTCCAGCTCAGAGTCAGGCCTGAGCCTGTATGCTACTCGAAAAGTTCTGGCGGCGTCTCTGATCTTGAAGGCGTTACCTTTGATCTTTTCAGTAAAACGTCTAGAGTTTTCTCGCGAAGCGTACTTTTCCTTGGAAAGTTTTACCGGAAACTTTCTGGAAGCTGGAAAACTAGGGACGTTTTACCGGAAAGATCAAAGGTGCCGACGGACTTTTCGAGTAGAATACAGGCTCAGGTCTGACTCTGAGCTGGAACTGGATTCTTATCCAGAGCTGGCGTTTTCTGGTCCAAGTTTGAAACAAAGCCACTGACAAGGAAGAGACAATAAAGCCCAGTCAGCTACTGACAACAAAGCCCAGTCAGCTACTGACAACAAAGCCCGTCAGCTACTGACAACAAAGCCCATTCAGCTACTGACAACAAAGCCCATTCAGCTACTGACAACAAAGCCCAGTCAGCTACTGGCAACAAAGCCCATTCAGCTACTAACAACAAAGCCCAGTCAGCTACTGACAACAAACCCCGTCAGCTATTGACAACAAAGCCCAGTCAGCTACTGACAACAAAGCCCAGTCAGCTACTGACAACAAAGCCCAAAAACAATCCTATCGACAATCGTCTCTCGTACACTGATGCCGTAGCTATCGTATTATGAGACCACTTTGACTTGTTGCCTTTCCCTAGTAAGACTTGTCAGTCTTGGAACAAGTATAGCTTGAAACAAGAGAACAAGAGTCTAGAGCAAGAACAGAAAAAAGAACAAGAACAGCAACAAGAATAAGTACAAGAACAAGAACAAGAGCAAGAGCCACTTCTCTTCTCTCTTCTCCTCTCTTTTCTCTTTCTAGTTCAGTTGTGCCATTTGGGTTCTAGCCAAGCAACTACGTGCAAGATTTCGAATTTTTTGACAACCCCCTCTTTTCCCTCTTTTCCCATTACTTTCTTTTAATCTGATCTCAAAATTTTTGCGAACAAACCCCCAAAAAGCTGATCGATTGGCGTTGCAATGAGAATTGCTTTTTCTGACCGCTCGCTCATCAAAAATCTCTTCTTTCCTTTTTCTCTTTCTCATGCATCATCTATTTCTTAACAACAAATTTTTCTTTCTTTTCACCTCAATGTTTTCGTTTTCCTTTTTCCTTTTTCTTTTTTCCTTCTTCCTTTTTCCTTCTTCCTTTTTCCTCTTTCCTTTTTCCTTTTTCCTTTTTCCTTTTTTCTTTTTCCTAATTTTTTGTGTTCCAATTCTCCTGTCTGATCAAAACACAAAGCAGAGAGATTTCAGCAATGATGGAGGGGGAAAACAAGCAAATCTTTTTTTTTACTTTCTTTTATGGCTGGATTAATAAGTGCAATTTATGTGATAGGTCGCGGTGATCCCAAAAAAAAGAAATGGTTGACAGTTGTTGTTGAAGGATTAAAACGGTAGCCGACGCAAATGGGGGAGATCGCGTTCCACTTAGACTTTGGTATGGAAATTTCGATGAAATACCGAAATGAAGAACTTTGTGTGCTCGATTTAGGGATACAGTGATCCAATCTGAAGCAATTGGTTATTGGTATTGGAAATGAATCGATGATAGATGGATAATAGATAAATTAAAGCATAGAACGAGTCAGCCAGTGCGATTTTAGAGAGCTAAGAAGCTCTAGTTCGAAAAGTTCGCAAGTTAAGAAATGTCTCGTGCTGATATAAGCTTCTTAACTAGGCTTTTCTAAAATCAAAATCAAAAATAGGCCTGGTCTAAAATGTCTAAAATGTTTTTAAAAAATAAAATTCAAAAGCTTTGTCAGCCAAAGTTATCAAAACTCAAGTCAAGAGCTTTTGTCATAGGTTTACTAGACAGTACTACTATCCATTGCACCAAGACCAGTGTCGAAAGACTGCCATAAGATGGTTTAAATGGGTGTAGCTAAAACTTGTTTGCTCAATATCTGCTAAACTTGTTTGCTCAATATCTCGTGTTTCCGATGCTTTCTGCAAAAGCTAAAGCCGAATTCAGAAGCAGCGCAAAAAACTGCACATGATAGCTTTCATTTGGAATTCCCTCATATACTTGTAAGCATTCTAGATCTAAACTTAATCCCCTCCTAAGCTCGTACACTTAATAAGATCTAAACTTTGATCTAAACTTTGATTCAGAAGCCGGATTCAGAAGCAGCGCAAAAAACTGCATATGATAGCTTTCATTTGGAATTCCCTCGTACACTTGTAAGCCTTCTAGACTTCTAGATGTAAGCATGTAGATGTAAGCATTCTAGATGTAAGCAACTTAATCCCCTCGTAAGCCCGTACACTTAATAAGATCTAAACTTTGCTCTAAACTTTGATCTAAACTCCTAGATCAAAAATTCAATCATTCAATTTCAAACTCACCTCTCAAACTCTTCTCCCGGGTCACAGCTCGTCTCGTCAAAGGCTTCCTAAAATATTCAAATCATATACAAATTTCACAACTTTTACTTAAAAAGCTAGTGTTTTTTTTTCTGATTTTACTGAACTCTTTGATTTGTTGTTTACTCATTTTCAAACAAGTTCCCCTTGTGAAAAGATTTCGATCTTCGGAAATTTCCCATCTTTATTTCTGGGAGACAAGAAAAGGCAACATTTTATTATGTCTGTAAAGTTTTTTTCGCTTTCGAGCGCTATGAATTTTCCAATTTCGCTTCGATCATCACTGAGTAAAGGAGGAAAACAGAGGAAAGAGCCACTTTGCAAAGGTTTTCCCCTACAAAAGACACCACAAAAAGTGCTGTATGAAGGGTTTAAAATAACACAAAAACCGCTGTACAAAGCGGTTATTAGTGGACGTTGAAATGCGACGTTTGGTGTAGAAAAAAGTGAACTTCTAAGCAAAACATAAGTACGTATTGGTAGATTCGACGTCAATCTACCGACATCGTATCCAGAGAATTTTTAACGGAAAGAGCAAGCTAATCGTTTTTAACCTGGGACCGTATTGGAGCCGTGTCAGGATCAAATTGCAGCCGTATTGGAACCGTATTGGGATCAAATTGTAACCGTATTGGAACCGTATTGTAGCCGTATTGGAGCTGTATTGGAACCGTATTGGAAGCAAATTGTAACCGTATTGGAACCGTGTTGGGATCAAATCGTAACCGTATTGGAACCGTGTTGGGATCAAATTGTAACCGTATTGGAACCGTGTTGGGATCAAATTGTAACCGTATTGGAACCGTGTTGGGATCAAATCGTAACCGTATTGGAACCGTGTTGGGATCAAATTGTAACCGTATTGGAACCGTGTTGGGATCAAATTGTAACCGTATTGGAACCGTGTTGGGATCAAATTGTAACCGTATTGGAACCGTGTTGGGATCAAATTGTAACCGTATTGGAACCGTGTTGGGATCAAATCGTAACCGTATTGGAACCGTATTGTAGCCGTATTGGAGCTGTATTGGAACCGTATTGGAAGCAAATTGTAACCGTATTGGAACCGTGTTGGGATCAAATCGTAACCGTATTGGAACCGTGTTGGGATCAAATTGTAGCCGTATTGTAACCGTATTGGAACCGTATTGGAACCGTTTTGGAACCGAATGACCCATAACCCATTTCTGCCTTGCATTTGAGTGGCAAAGGAGAGGCAATTGCTCCCTCTACTCCACCCTACTAGACACCTACTAGACATGGAAAAATTCCAACCCGAACCTAAATTCCACCTTTGTTTTCTCGACCGTTTCTCGACCGATTGCTCTGAAATTTTGTCTACAAGCAGAGAACGCCAATTTCTCTTTGTAAACAAGATTTCAGAGCAATCGGCCAAGAAATGGCCGAGAAAACGAAGATGGAATTAGGTTCGGCTTGGAATTTTTCCATGTCTAGTACTTACAGTATTCTACAATACTCAGTTCATTCCACGATTCAAATTCGAGAACTTGAACTAATCACCTACATATCGCCAACAGCAAATCAAAAAAATACAGCTAAATGTTGTGCATAGGACTGGAATTAGCTATCTATTTACTGTATTTAACCATACTTTACACTAAAGCTTTTCATTTTCGGCCTGGTTGTCGATGGGTGAAATGGGTAATGGCAAAAATTGCATTTGGTCACTTCAAAAGCTACTTTTTTAGCGTTCAAAAGATAGAGCTTGGAAAATTCCAGTTTCTTTTGGCAAGAAAACCTGAAAAGTAGTCGTTGAAGTGGTCAAATTTCGTTTTTCCGTTGCACATCTATTGAAAATTAGACCGAAAATGAATAGCCCTACACTGAATGAAAATGAATGAAAATGAAATGGAAAATGAATAGCCATTGGCTAGATGAGTAACAGTTTTGGATGACAATTGATTCTTGTTTTGAAAGTTCTGAAGCCAATTCTTGTCCATTTCAAAACCCTACAAGAATTGGCGTTAAAAATCACATAGTTTATCGAAAGGGAAACGTGTTTAGACCACATTACTGTAGTCTAAACAAGTATATAAACTGTAGTAGATAAACTGTAGTATATAAACTGTAGTATATAAACTGTAGTATGAAACTGTAGTAGATAAACTGTAGTATATAAACTGTAGTTGATAAACTGTAGTATATAAACTGTAGTATATAAACTGTAGTATATAAACTGTAGTATATAAACTGTAGTATATAAACTGTAGTATATAAACTGTAGTATATAAACTGTAGTATGAAACTGTAGTAGATAAACTGTAGTATGAAACTGTAGTATGAAACTGTAGTATGAAACTGTAGTATATAAACTGTAGTATATAAACTGTAGTATATAAACTGTAGTATATAAACTGTAGTATATAAACTGTAGTATGAAACTGTAGTAGATAAACTGTAGTATGAAACTGTAGTATATAAACTGTAGTATATAAACTGTAGTATATAAACTGTAGTATATAAACTGTAGTATATAAACTGTAGTATATAAACTGTAGTATATAAACTGTAGTATATAAACTGTAGTAGATAAACTGTAGTATGAAACTGTAGTAGATAAACTGTAGTAGATAAACTGTAGTATATAAACTGTAGTATATAAACTGTAGTATATAAACTGTAGTATATAAACTGTAGTATGAAACTGTAGTATATAAACTGTAGTATATAAACTGTAGTATATAAACTTTTACAGCTAATCTATTCTTTTTGCCATCTAGAATACCGACAAGACAAGTACGCATCGGATTTGTAACTTTTTTCAACTAGAAGCGAAACCTTAAAAACTCTACACATTAGGAAATCCTTTCCGAAGGGAAACCTTTGGAGATTTACATAGAGATTTACAAATTTACATAGAGCTTTTTTTTAAATCTCTATTTACATAGAGATTTACAAAAAGCTCTATGTAAATTTGAATAAACTTTAATCTTTTTCCAAAAATATTACATTTTTCATGAAACGAATCGAATTTCATGACGTGCAAACCCCATAAATCATTCACTTTTATGTAAAACTTGCATGTAAAAACTAAAAATGATATTTTGACTTCATTTCTGGAGAATTTCTATGACTACTAAATGAATCAAATGAATCAAATGAAAATAAAACAAAACACAAACCGGTGGTTTCGTCCAAGCTGAGTTATCGACGTGAGATGTATCGAATTTCTCTCCACCAACACTGTGACGAATGCCTAACAAAATGTTACTCAAGCTTTCTCAAGCTTCAATTTCTTCAAAACCTTGTTGTTTAAATTGCTCCTCGTGTAGGGTGAGAATGTCTTTAATTGTTCTTTTTGACATAAGCTCCTTGACTTCTTGTGTCTTGATCGGATATGGAGTGACACCGGCGTTGAGGGGACCCTCTTCATCATATCTGAAATATGAATCGATTTGCGTGGCACAAGGATATTCCAACCAGCGGAATTTTGCATTGCACAAGGATTCACAGAGGAAGATCAACTAGTTGAGCTAACCAAAAGCTATACTATACCAGCATTTTACTAATCAAAAAGAAAAGCCTTGAAAAAAGCAAAAGGAAGCTAAAGCCGGGTCCGAACCTTCGAGCTCTCGCTCTGGAAATGAACACTGTACCACTCGGCCATCGCTGCACCGATGGCCTAAACAAGCAGAAACAAACGTACTGTTGTCGAGATATGAGCGTTTGTTTGAGGATAAACTTAGATTACGCGACGCTTCTTTAGGGCTTCTATTAGAGCTTCTATTAGAGCTTTTACGGTAACAGTAAGTCCTGGACTGGCTTCAGCATGAGCTGATCTGGCCCCTGATCTGGCCCTGATATGGTCCTGATATGGTTCTGATATGGTCCTGATCTGAACGTAATCTGGCCGTAATCTGGCCCTGATCTGGCCCTAATCTGGCCCTGAAACATTGCAAACAAGAACTACAATGATTAATATCTGAAAACTGAACTGTTGCACTGTGCTTCTTCTTGGAATTTAGCTAAGCTAGGCCAGACAAGGTACTTGTTTAGTGCTTAGCCGCAGTCTGATGCCTGTTCCTTGTGCTTACACTCAAAGCTACCGTACTCTTGCTGCAGAATTTGTTCTAGTTCAGTTCAAAGTTCTAGTTCAAATTTCAAAGACTTCTAGTGTTACAAGCTTTACAGTGTTACAAGCTTTACAGACAAGGCTACAGTACAGCCTGTAGTCAGTACTGTAATACGGGCAAATATCGCTGAATATCTCATCAAATATTTCGAATCCCTCACTTGTATCCCTCCCTCAAATCGACATCGTATTTCTCTCTCCTCCCAATCGATCCATTCATTGAGCTGTAGGGACTTCCCTCATCCTGTGGGCTGTCCACTGGTTCGCTCTTCCACGGCTGAAAATACCGGAAGTCACCTTTTCCCTGAATTAATTTGATCATCATTTAAGGGTTTTTTTTTTCAGCTTTTTTCAGTTTTTTTCAGCTTTTTTTCAGCTTTTCCTTGGACACAAGAAAAATCGAGTGGCACGACTTGGTAAACTTCAGGGATAAGCCCTGGATTTGTTGATACAAAGATGGGGAAAAAAAGATGGGATTATATGATTCAAACAACTCGAATAGATTTGATTGAAAGTGATTTTTGATACAAAGATAGGTGATAATTCGATGACTCAAAAGCTAGAATATTCGGTTGAAAGTGCTTGATTAGAATTTAGATAGAAAAAAGGGTGATTTTTAGCTTACCGGTGATCCCATCTCATCATCCGATCCGTCCAATTGACGCTTTCGGCGCTCCTTTTGTGAGCCGGTTGGATCGCGACGGGGTTGAACGGCTGAAAAAAAAAAAAGAATCGACTATTGTAGTTGTATAGTTGGATCGAAATTTGAGTTGTAGTTGTAGTTGTATAGAAATTGTATAGAATTGTATAGTTGTATAGAAATTGCATGTGCTTTAGATAAAGATAGATAGATAAAGAGCTTTAGATAATTAGATAAAGAAACAGTAATTCTGGATGATCGTTCGTTCGTTATCGATAACTTTTTTACTGAAATTCTCAGCTGTTGGTCAAAATCCAGCTTTCAAAGGTTTAAAAAGGGTTTCAATGGCTCAGCTTTCAACTCTTACAAGTCAATGAGTTTTAAATAATCTGAGAGCTTTAAAAAAGAGATGGACTTGAAGTTTTTGGTTGGTTTTTTGTTGGTTTTTGTTTGTTTTTGTTTGTTTTTGGTTGTTTTTTGTTGGTTTTTGTTGGTTTTTGGTTGTTTTTGTTGGTTTTTGGTTGTTTTTGTTTGTTTTTTGTTGGTTTTTGTTTGTTTTTGTTGTTTTTTGTTGTTTTTGTTGGTTTTTGTTTGTTTTTGTTTGTTTTTTGTTGGTTTTTGTTTGTTTTTTGTTGGTTTTTGTTGGTTTTTGTTGGTTTTTGTTTGTTTTTGTTTGTTTTTTGTTGGTTTTTGTTGTTTCTTGTTGCTTCTTGTTTGTTTTTTGTTGTTTTTTGTTCGTTTTTTGTTGTTTCTTGTTGCTTTTTGTTGGCTTTTGCTTCTTTTTTGTTTCTTTTTGTTTAAAGCTTGAAAAGAGTTTTGTTTAAAGTCGAGTTTAAAGTTAAAGTCGAGTTTTAAACTATAATCGTTGGATAAAGAAGTGGATTGAAGATTGAAGTGGGTAAATGAACCAGCAGATTATTCTCATCGAGCATTCACTTCAAAATTTCATTCAAATCTTTAAAAATAAACCTATTTTTCACGTTTTACCCACTTTCATGTAAACACTTTCCCCTTTTCTTTGTCATTCTTTGTCATTTAGATTCATTTCTCAACATTCAATTATTCAATCATTCCCCAAAAACCAACCAAAACATGATTTCTTTCTTTTTTTTTAAAGTTGCTCCCATAAATGGGAAAGAGTCAGAATAATTCTTTTCCGAAAAACCAAAAGAAAAATGTGCACATTGCTCACTCATCACTTTTTTTCTTTGATTTATATTTTGGATTTTTGTAGGCGGTTGCTGGGCAACTTAAGGGGAAATGGGGAGAACGGAAGAAGACCTAAATGAGAGTTACAGGGGACATCTCGCTTTTTTTCTTTTCATAATTCCCCCACTTTTTTCAAAGGGTTGATGACACTTTGGTTTTCAAATTAGTGCTCACAGAGGAGTTGAGTCGATTGGGTGAGGAAAGTTTTTTGTAAAACCAAAAGAAATTGGAGAAATTCGATTGAGCTGTGAGCTGACTGATCGAATACGATTCGATCAATTCGATCAACTCTGGTTACTGGTTTTACTGGTTTTGCTGGCTTTTGGACGCTGGTTTTAAAATGAAAATCAAATAAAATCAAATGAAAACCAAATAAAAGTCAAAATGGAGTATAGTTTTGGCTATTTGGCACTTGTTGTGATCGATTTGGATGAATCGATTGAGTAAATAAACCGAGTGATCTCTATGATTGGGTAAATGAATCAAGCTTTTACTACCTAAGCTAACTATGGGATGAAACTACTTTATGTAATTTTTGACAAACCCACAAAGAAAACCCAAACTGAAGTCGTTGAGGCCAGGTACATTTTCCCACAAAGAGGTCTAGTACATTTTTTGGTTTCTCGAGAAAAGCAATAGTGCCCAAAATATGTAAAAATATGCAAAAAATGTACATTTTTCTTAGTTTTCAGTTTTTTATTCAATTTATCTCTTTTCTCAGAAAGATTTTGAGACTGAAAATGACATTCAACTTGCAATTAGGCAATTTCTCTTGGGGATTCTCTATTACATTCTCAATTACATCCTCAATTACATTCTCCACTACATTCTCCACTACATTCTCCAAAATATAAACCTTTTAGGATTAGGAGTACAAATGAAATGGAGAAAAGATGATTATTTGAAAATAGGGTACTTTTCCAATATCGGGGGAGCGAAAGGCAAATCGGGGGAGCAAATTTTGCCCCCTCGAAAAATGCATTTCCGGGACTGCATTTCCGGGACGGGACTGCAACGTTTTTTTTAAAATTTAACGACGTTGCGGTTCTCCGACATTTGTGAATCGTTTGTGAATCAAGGAATCGAAGGCAATCGATTATTTCGTCACCAAAGGAGTCATCCAGTCGTGGATCTGCAACTGTGGCGAATCGATGAAAGTCCGCTCAAAGGGAAAAGATCCATTTCGCTGGGTGTTAGATATTTAAGTCACTTTTGTGATCTAATATAAAGGCTGTGAGAATAACGGGTAATTCGCGGATTTTATGGCGGTAGTTTGTATAATATAGGACATATGTAGCGCTGCCAAAGTTTGCTCCCCCAATTTTCCTTTCGCTCCCCCGATGATCGGATCGCTCCCCGATATTGGAAAAGTACCGAAAATAGGTTTTCTGAAAATTTCAAAACAATAAGAATTTCGTGGAGCAACAAGTGAAAGGCACCTTTGAGCTTTTCACCTCTTCAGTCCATCTTATAGAGTCGACCATGGGCATCTCGAATCTGTTTTGCAATTTTTGCAGAACACGTCGCAAACGCAAGATGTTTGGCATAGAAAATCATCTTCATTTTCAAGCTCCTTATGAGACCGAGACTTGGCTATCGATATTTTGAAGTGCTCGCGTTAAAACGGACTTTGTGTCCGTTAAAACGGACATATCTTTGTGATTGTAGCTCTCAATGCTCCGAAACTTTTACCAATGGAAAGCCAGAAGTTCAACCTTCATTTTGGTACCTAATATGTACTGTTAGAAGAATAAACTGTTAGAAAAACAAGAACAAAAACCTTATCGATGCGCTATCGATACGATACGATACGATAATCGATATGATTATCGATCAGAGCTCGATAAGTTCATCTCAAAAGCGTATCGATTACGTTTTTAGAGTTGCGTTTTTTTGTGCTCTTCTAACTTTCTAAATATTAGTACCAAAATGAAGCTTAAACTTTTGGCTTTTCAAGGGTAAAATGGCTTCAATGGCTTTTCAATGGTTTCAGAGCATTTGAGTAGTTTGGTGCAAAGTTATAAGCCTTTTTTTGTGCGAAATCTTGCGACTCCAAAAAAAATCGATAATATCTATAGCAAAGTCTAGTCAAACGCTGTCCAAACAATTGTTTCGATGGTCTAGTGGATAGTCTGCTAGACTCCGGGAACCTAGGACATTTCGTGGTCTCAAGTTCGTGGCCTCCAGGAACCTAGGACATCTCGTGGCCTCATTTCGTGGCCTCCGGGAACCTAGGACATCTCGTGGCCTCATTTCGTGGCCTCCGGGAACCTAGGACATTTCGTGGTCTCAATTTCGTGGCCTCCGGGAACCTAGGACATCTCGTGGCCTCATTTCGTGGCCTCCGGGAACCTAGGACATCTCGTGGACTCATTTCGTGGCCTCAAGTTCGAGTCCCACTGTGGCTGGTTGGCTGATTGGATGTAAACTAGCTAAAGGATTACGTTTTGAAAGTAGCTGCCTGCTAGAAAATGTATTAAAAGACAAATTTTAGAGAAGTAAATCGTTTAAATTTGAATTAAATTGGAATTAAATTTGAAATTCGCGTTCGTCCCTCGTTTCTTAGTCCCTTTCTTATCCGAATCTTTACTTATTCTTTTCGTCTTCTTTTCTTCTTCTTTTCTTCTTCTTCTTTTCTATCCATTCTCATTCTTGTCCTATTTGTTTTTCAAGCATCCAAATACCGTATTACTCTGATGAATCATAGTATTTCTTAATTCCCCAAAATTTCTTCATTTATAAGTACTCTTTAAAACCCTTATTTTTGTACCACAAAAGCACACTTTTTGCCTCAAATTTTTTGCCACCAAAACCTCGCAACAAACAATTTTTTGTGCACAATTTTGCGTGATTCCCTCCCTTTCTTTTGGGGTAATTTCGAAAATGTCAACGGATTAAGCACAAAAAGGATTTGAGAAAATGATGACCACGACAAAAGCTTTTTATTTATTTCATCTATTTCATGGGTGAATGCAATTCGATAGAGGTTAAACTAAAAAAAAAAGAAACGAGATCTTTGGGCGAATTTAGTCATGCTTGTAGAATGAGTAAAAGTGAAGTGCGCAAAAATTTAGCAAAACTACAAGCTAAGATGCTGAGGTAAGAGTTCTGAAACACTTCACAATCTAGTGCTCTATAGAATCGTTGATCGATCCCTTATAGAGTGTGTTCGGCTTGAGTAATCCCTTTTCTAAAGCATGCCAACTTTTGAATTACCATAATCCTGGTTTTGTCTCTAGTTTTGCCTGCTCTTATCCTTTTTTTTGAAGCTTTTGGGCTTTGTGAAGCTTCTTTTTGAACCCTGACAGGCTTAGAAATTGATCAATTAGATCAAATTGTTCCAAATTGATCCAAATTGTTCCAAATTGCTTCAAATTGATCCAAATTGATCCAAATTGATCCAAATTGATCCAAATTGATCCAAATTGATCCAAATTGATCCAAATTGATCCAAATTGATCCAAATTGATCCAAATTGATCCAAATTGATCCAAATTGATCCAAATTGATCCAAATTGAACCAAATTGTTCCAAATTGTTCCAAATTGATCCAAATTTGGTTAAATATACCAAATCTGGTCAATTTGACCAAATTTGAACAAAAACAGAGACAAGATTACGGTAGCTCTAAAAGTTGACATGTTTTAGAGAAAGCTGCTTGAAAGAAAGGCGATTTCTTTTGCAAAAATCGTGTTTCTCCTATAAAACTTTAAAAGCCTCTACGAAGAAATTGGCTATATGAATTTATGTGAAAATTTGCATTGATACCTAACTTTTTGTGCTCTATCTTTTACGTAATGACACGAAGATAGGTTTCCTTGGGTTAAAGTGTTTAAATCGCATCAATGTCATCGAGCTGTCGCTCTTTTTGACTACTCGACTTCAAGCTCTCAAAGAAATCCAAACATAAGACATTTTAAACATTAAAACAGTGTTATTTTGCAGAAAAATGATTGGTTTTTCTAATGAAACAAAGCTAGAAACCTTTAAAACCTTTAAAACCTCCAAAAATCGTAGTTCAATTGGTGAATTTTTTGGTTTTAAAAGGAAGAACGAAAAGAAACGAAAAGATTTTTTGAAAGAGCCTGCTTCAAGATCAATTTTAACTCACTTCAGTAGCTTGAGCTCAAAGCTTTGTGGATTCTACAAGTCCAAAAGGATCAGTTTTTTGCTCATTTTCCCATTTTCAGAATGTAAATATCAATCCCAACTCAAATCCCGAAGCCAAAACTTAGAGATTTTTCTAAAATCATGAAAACAACTCATCAAAATCAACTCATCGCGTTCCTTCAAAAACATTTCAGTCATTTTAATGATTTGTCTCATTTTTCATGCCCGACTATTGTTATCTTTTCAATCTTTGCAAAGTTTTTTTCGCCTTACATTCAACGTTTCAATCAATCTTCTCTCTCCTTTTCTTTTCTTTTCTTTCTCAAAAATTTACCGGTAATCACCCGTGCGTAAACGTGTCAAACTTTTGATAGATTAAGCCCAAGAATCCCTTTTTCAAAAAATCGATTAAAATCTTGAAATTCTTGTTTTCGAAAAACAAGATCGAATCAGGTGAATGATTGAGTGATTCAAACGAGTTGAAAGGAAAGGAAAAGAATTGAACGAAAGAGAATTGAAAGGAAAAGAATTGAAAGAAAAAGAATTAAAATGACCGCTTTGGAATTGTGTTTCAAAGGGAAAAATCGAATCATTTTATTTCATTTTATAAAGGATTTGAAGAATTTCGAAATTCGAATCAATTCGAAATCGAACTTTAAAGGAGCTTTCAAGGACCTAAATAGGAACTATAAAGGAGCTTTGAAGGAGCTTTAAAAGAGCTTTAAAGGAGCTTTAAAGGACCTAAATAGGAACTATAAAAGAGCTTTAAAGGAGCTTTAAAGGAGCTTTAAAGGACCTAAATAGGAACTATAAAGGAGCTTTAAAGGAGCTTTAAAAGAGCTTTAAAGGAGCTTTAAAGGGCCTAAATAGGAACTATAAAGGAGCTTTAAAGGAGCTTTAAAGGAGCTTTAAAGGAGCCGAAAGTTTTAACGATTTCGAAAGTTTAGAAAGCAAAAATAAACTGTAATCGGAAAAAAACGGTTTAGAAAGAATGGTAATCTTTCCTTTAGATTTGTTTTTATTGCTTCATTTTTGAGCTTATTTTGAGCTTAGCTTTTTGAGCTTCACCGTCAACAAAAGAGAAAAACAAAATTACGGTAGCAAAAACAAAATTCGAAATTAGGGGTAGGCTAATTTCCGCAACTGGGTCATTTGCGCAAACCAACATAACTTTCTTCTAAGTCGACCAATCTTTATGATTTTGGTGTCATTTTGTTACACTTGTTGAGATCTACAGAGTGAAACTAAAATCATAAAGAAGAAAACGTAGAAGAAAGGTCCACTTAGAAGAAAGTTATGGCGAATTGCGCAAATGACCCAGTTGAGCAAAAAAAATTGCGAAAATTAGCCTATCCCCCGGAATTATGCATCTTTTAGAGAAATCTATTTAAGTTTGGTCCCTTATCTCAACAAATTTGGCTCCTTATCTCAACAAATTTGGTTCCTTATCTATCTAAATCTGGTTCCTTATCTATCTAAATTTGGTTCCTTATCTCTCTAAGATGGAAGATAGGGAACCAAATTTAGAGAGATAAGGAACCAAATTTAAAGAGATAGGGAACCAAGTTCCCTTGGATAATCTTGGAATTGATGGAATCATAAACTTTGATGGAATCATAAACTTGGATAAACTAAGGGTTAATGGTAGCTTTCATCGAAATTATTCATCTTTTAGAGAAACGGCTTCATGGGAAAGGCCTTTGATATTGGAATAGATCTTTGTGGAGTTTCTTTGAAATTATCTCTCATAAGTTAATTGGATTGAAGATTGAATTTAAGACAGCAATTCGTATGAATCCCTTGATCTTAATTGCAATGTGAAATTTGTGATTTACGGTGGGGAAAAACTTCGACAACTTGCGTCAATTGTTGACCTGTTTTTTACGATGCAAAACTTGCAAAACTTGCAAAATTTGGTACAAAAACAAAAAAGAAACTCAAATTCATGTTCAATCCATTGAAATGTTCAAACATTTACAAAAACTCACCAGCAACTTTCATCCCGGCGTCGACACATTTCCTGAAACGGCAAGCTCGACAACTGCACCGTCCCTCAACTGTCACATCGCATTGATTATTGTAGCGACAATCGTATTTCTGGAATTCTCTTTAGATTCTCTTAAACTTAGTTTAAACTTTTAAATTTAGCTTAAACTTTTAAACTTTCACTTTTAAATTCTTTTAAACCCAAGTTTTAAATCAAATTTCCAAGTTTCCATCAAAATTGTCAAATTTTCGGAAAAATCCAAATGGTCATGCTTGTAAAATGGTCAGCGCCAACCGCTGAACAAATAAGCTAAGTGCTCAGCTAAGTGCTCAGCTTTTATGAGAAATATACTATGATTTCGAAAAAGATTTGGTGACCAGAAAGCGAGGCAAAAAGGCTTTTAAAGTAAAGAAATCAATGGCAAAGAATTAGAGGGGAATTGAACTTGCAAATTGCAAATTACAAATAAACCCAGCCTTCCGCTTACCGAGCTAGTGCTTTACCAGTGAGCTACCGGTGCCTACTTTGCCCAAGAAGAAATAGGAAAGACAAGGAAGAAGAGAGGGAATACCCGGGTCTTCAGAACTCCCGCTTTACTTGGAAATATACTGAATTGTTAGAAAACCCAACAAAAAACGATAAAATCATTTGATAAGCTGAAAGAAGTTCATTTATTTTATTGGTTCTTGGCTCTGTCTTAGTTCACTTTTCACTAATAGAAGAAATCTAGATTTTATGCGAGTCACCTTGAAATCCAACTTTTAAGATAGCGAGAGCTGAGCAAGAGCTCAATTTTGAGCTAAAAGAGCTTTCGAAAAGTAATTCTTAAATTATTTCTTAAGCTAATTCTAAAGCTAGTTCTTAAAGCTAGTTCTTAAACAAATCTTAAACCAATTCTTAAACTAATCCTTAATCTAATCCTTAATCTAATTCTTAAGCCATTTCTAAAGCTTGTTCTTAAGCTAATTCTAAAGCTAGTTCTTAAACCAAATCTTAAACCAGCTCTTAAATTAATCCTTAATCTAATTCTTAAACCACTTCTAAAGCTTGTTCTTAGACCAGTCCTTAAGCTAATTCTTAAACCAATTCTAAACCTAGTTCTTAAACCAATTCTTAAACCAACTCTTACATTAATCCTTAATCTAATTCTTAAACCATTTCTAAAGCTAGTTCTTAAGCTAATTCTAAAGCTAGTTCTTAGACCAAATCTTAAGCTAATTCTTAAACCATTTCTAAAGCTAATTCTTAAATTAATCCTTAATCTAATTCTTAAACCACTTCTAAAGCTTGTTCTTAGACCAAATCTTAAGCTAATTCTTAAACCAATTCTAAACGTAGTTCTTAAACCAATTCTGAAGCCAACTCTTAATCTAATCCTTAATCTAATTCTTCAACCATTTCTAAAGCGAGTTCTTAAACCAACTCTTAAACTAATCCTTAATCTAATCCTTAAACCAATTCTTAAACCAATTCTTAAACCAACTCTTAAAATAATCCCTAATCTAATTCTTTTTTTAATCCCAACATTTCACCTGATTATAGCTGACGGCTCGGCGAAAGAAAGCGTTACACGAGCGACACGAAACAGCTCCGTAGTGCAATCCATCGGCCATTGCTCCGCAAATCGAGCACGACATCCCCAAATATTCCTCTTTCATCACAGAATACGAAGAATTGTAGAGAGTTGTAGAAAAGATCAAAATCGAATTGAAAATTCAAATGAATTCAGCTGAGGTTCCTCTCTCAAAAAGGCTCCTTTTTTAGGTTCGCTTTTTTTCTGACGTAGCTTCTCTTTTTGGCGAGGTCGAAAATTGATTACGGCCACGGGCGAGTCGACATTTGAAAAACCTGGAAAAAAAGAATAGTAAAATAGATGAATAGTAATGTAAAATAAGGGAAAGCCTTGACGGAAAAATGGAAAAATGAAAAGATGCAAAAATAAATGCTTAGTAATGCCATAAAAAACAATATTTCTGAAGAAAATTTCGTGAAAATGAGTTTTAGATTGAAAATGAGTTCTAGATTTCTCTTTCCCAATTACATGAACCCAAGGGATTTCTCTAATTCTTTTTCTCATAATCTTTTTGTACATTGAGCGGATTTTCAGGTGTCACTCGGCTTTTTTTTTTTGCAGGAATTCTGATGTAATTAGGAAGTGAAGAAAAACGAAAAAGGCAACAAAAATCATTGATTTTAGGGGAAAATATGAAACGGATTTTTAAAAGATTTCAATTGAAAGGGAAAGTCGAGTTGAAATGAGTAAACTGGAGGAAAATAATGGATTGAAAAATATTGGATTGGTGAATTGCGGGCTATTGTCATATGTCAGAGTTTAAGCGCTTTCTTCAAAAGAAACCCATATTGGTGTCAATGGAAAAGTTGTAGAGAATCAAAAATCAAGCTTATATCCAAATTTCCAAAAAGATACACTTAGTAGTTTCGCTTAAAATGCAAGTTTTGTGAAAATTCGTAAATTTCTCGTGTGTTCTTTTTGCGGCCGCGTAATCGCTCGTCGTCTGGCGCAGGGCTTTTACATAACCCCCTTCCCTCCCTCTTCGCCAAACTGATCTGGCCGTCTCCGTATCCTCAAATTCGACATTGACTTCTCAAATACGACATTGATTAAATCAAGGCTGATCTCAATTTATTGGGTTGGTGAATTGAAAACTGCTGGCTATTGTCATATGTCAGAGTTTAAGCACTTTCTTCAAAAGAAATCCATTTTGGTGTCAATGGAAAAGTTGTAGAGAATCAAAAATCAAGCTTATATCCAGATTTTCAGAACGATTCAAAAACTGGTTTTCAAGAAATGCCAAATTTACGAATTTTCACAAAACCTGCAACAAAACTTGCATTTTAAGCAAAACTACTAAGTGTATCTTTTTGGAAATTGGGCTATAAGCCTAATTTTTGATTCTCTACGACTTTTCTTTTGGCACCAAAATGGGTTTCTTTTGAAGAAAGTGCTCAAACTGGGACATCTCTCTGGAAATCTTTCTTTGCCATTCCTTACTTTACTTTCTTGTATGATTAGGCCAGGCCAGGCTATAGCAGGCTTGATCTAGGTATGGGCAGGACAGGTTATAAACCTGGTTTAGGAGCCTTTTGTAATCCAAGATCCAAGTTGTGATCCAAGATCCAAGTTGTGATCCAACATCCAATTGTGATCCAAGATCCAATTGTGATCCAACATCCAACTGTGATTCAAGATCCAAGTTTTGATCCAACATCCAATTGTGATCCAATCGTGATCCAATCGTGATCCAAGTTGTGATCCAATTTTGACCATTGATGGCTAGGCTAGGTCTACCCTAGATCCAAACTTTTGACCTGATTGATCCCGGTCAGAAATGTCCTTTCTGTTTTGCTTTTCTTTATGTCCTTTCTTTCTCTTTTCTTCTCACTTTCAAACAGCCGACATTCGCGGCTTTTAGATTCAAATTTCTTCATTTTATGTCATTGATGTTTTTTTTCTTGCAGCTAAAGATTTTTCGATAGATAAACGCTTTCCATTTCCTCTAATCATTTTTCTACCGCTAGATTTTCTTGTGTTTTGAATAAAGATCTTCATAACGATTTTGCTGTTTCCTTTCACCGCCTAAATCGCAAGAATTCTTTTAAAACAAGGTTCTTTGCTTCTTTGATAGCTTCTTTGATCAGTACAACTACAGCAAAATGTGTAAAAAAAAAAACCCCCAGCTCTGCTAGACTGACTCTAAAACTAAAGCATTAATGATACGAGTTTCAAAAACAGCACGGACTCTAGCTAAGACATCACGGACTCTAGATAAGAGTAAAACTTGAAAAGTTGAAGTGTTAATCCAGAATTTGATAAGAAAAAAACGTCTAATTTGTGTAGAAAAAAATCGAATATCGAAAATCGGATATCTTTGCGTCAAATCGACGATTGAATAAAGGAAATGGAATGTGTTTTTTCAATTTTTTTTTTTTGAGATTTTCTCACGCGGTCAATCAGATAAAAATGTTCTCATTGATAGGAAAAACAGAAAGAGAAAAAGAAAGAAAGAAAGGTAGAAAGAAAGAAAGAAAGAAAGAAAGACAAAAAGAAAGCATTTTTTAAAAGGTTTGTGTTATGGCCTTGGTTTGACTATAGTGACTGTGAAAAATGGAAATGAAACTTTCTAAAAATGGCATGGAGTCTTTGCGGAATTTAATGTCGGTGCTTACTATTAGTACTATTAGAAATTAGAAATTGAATACTATTAGAAATCGGAAACTTTGCTATTGAAAATAATATGAAAATTCAATAACAAAGTATTATTTAAAGCTTTTCAACTGATCTGACAGCTACTAGGTTAGTCATAAGCCAGATGGAAACCCGAGCATTGAACTGATCTGGTTTCTAGTTCAGAAATTTTTTAATTGATCAGCTCAAGCTAAATCAGGTCAGAAGCTAGATAAACTTGGAAAGGAAATAAACTTGGCTTTTAGGGGTTAAAATATAGAAAGACTTAGCTTCGAGACTACCTGATCTGGCATGGTCTTAAACTTCCTAGGAATCCTGGAACTTCCTTGGAATCCTGGAACTTCCTAGGAATCCTGGAACTTCCTTGGAATCCTGGAACTTCCTTGGAATCCTGGAACTTCCTAGGAATCCTGGAACTTCCTAGGAATCCTGGAACTTCCTAGGAATCCTAGAACTTCCAAGGAATCCTAGAACTTCCTTGGAATCCTTGAACTTCCAAGGAATCCTGAAACTTCCCTGGAATCCTGAAACTTCCTAGGAATCCTGGAACTTCCTAGGAATCCTAGAACTTCCTTGGAATCTTGAAACTTCCTAGGAATCCTGGAACTTCCTTGGAATCTTGAAACTTCCTTGGAATCTTAGAACTTCCTAGGAATCCTAGAACTTCCTAGAAATCCTGAAACTTTCTTGGAATCCTGGAACTTCCTTGGAAACTTAGAACTTTCTTGGAATCCTAGAACTTCCAAGGAATCCTGGAACTTCCTAGGAATCTTGGAACTTCCTAGGAATCCTGGAACTTCCTAGGAATCCTGGATCTTCCTAGGAATCTTAGAACTTCCTTGGAATCCTTGATCCTGGAAGGGCAACGTCATACCGGAGCAAGGCATAAAAATGTAGCCTTAAATAGATAAAATTTATCTCAAACTTTAAAATTCTAAGTTACATACGTGATTTATATACATATTTCACGTAAAACCGAGATTTCATCCCTCATTTAGTGCTTTGTATGGGAATAGGCAATAGGCAATAATAAATAGGAATAGGGACTAATAAATTGGGGAATGTACGAGTGGAATCGGGTCAAAAATCATCTCAAAATTGGCCAAAGATCATCTCAAAACCTTGGAGATGCATAATTGGATGAAGAAAAATGGAAAAATGGAAAACTGAAGTTCGAATTAGTGAAAGTGGTGACTGTTTGAGAAAAATGAAATCGAGAAATCGATAGCTCATTTTTTTGTCAAAAGAGAGATGCCGATTTTAGATGAAAAAGGACACAATCGATCAGAAAATGACATAAAATTCAATGGCCAGTTGGCCAGTTGAGCTTGGCCAGTTGAGCTTGGCCAGTTGAGCTTGGCCAGTTGAGCTTGGCCAGTTGAGCTTGGCCAGTTGAGCTTGGCCAGTTGAGCTTGGCCAGTTGAGCTTCTGCGAAAGCTTTGAAAGCCGTAAAATAGTCATCAACTCGGCTCGGGCGGGGTGCACTACTATTAGAGAGAATAGAGGAATAGAAATTGATAGAAGTTATCAAGTTATTTGGCTACTAGTTAGCATATACTTATAGATTATTCAGTAGAAATTACAGATGAAATTGTTTTTTTTTGGGTTTTTAAGAAATCACAAATTTAAGAACGGCAAGAACTCATGGACAACTACATAAAAGAACTCATGTACATAAAGGAACTCATGTACATAAAGGAACTAGTACATAAAGGAAAGTGGTCAATGGTCAACGGAATGCAAATTTTGCGAATTTATTTCGGAAATGATCATGGGTCATTTTTTTGGATTTATAACGGAAAAGAACCTAAGAATTTGCTCTCTAAAGTTTAATTTCGTCTACCTACAAAGCTTCTGCACTTATAATTATGAGCCACCGTGTAGTGAGGAATGCTGTAGCATCTCGTAATGTAGTTTAGTGTAATCAGGGAATGTAGCGGCTTGGAGTGAGTGTTATTGTAGTGTTGTATTGTTGTACTGTTGTATTGTTGTATTGTTGTACTGTTGTATTGTTGTGTTGTTGTATTGTTGTGTTGTTGTATTGTTGTGTTGTTGTATTGTTGTGTTGTTGTATTGTTGTATTGTTGTAGTGTTGTACTGTTGTATTGTTGTACTGTTGTAGTGTTGTACTGTTGTATTGTTGTACTGTTGTATTGTTGTACTGTTGTATTGTTGTATTGTTGTATTGTTGTATTGTTGTATTGTTGTGTTGTTGTATTGTTGTGTTGTTGTATTGTTGTGTTGTTGTATTGTTGTACTGTTGTAGTGTTGTACTGTTGTAGTGTTGTACTGTTGTAGTGTTGTAGTGTTGTACTGTTGTAGTGTTGTACTGTTTTAGTGTTGTACTGTTGTAGTGTTGTACTGTTGTAGTGTTGTGCTGTTGTAGTGTTGTGCTGTTGTAGTGTTGTGCTGTTGTATTGTTGTGTTGTTGTGTTGTTGTATTGTTGTATT